CGCGCAAGTTGCGCAAGTGTCGCCTATGTCGCGGGAAGTGTCGCCTAAGTCGCGCGCGTCGTGCGAAACGTCGCGTTTATCGCGTTGCTGCATAGTATTGTAGACTCGACCTACAGTGCAATATATGCCATTGTGAGGCTACTCAGGATCGAGTCCTCTACACCGAAAGCTTCATATATAGCTAGGAGTTCCTTGTTGTGGGTGTCGTAGTTGAGTTCCAGAGCGGTTAGTGTACGAGAGTAAAACGCTACCGGACGAAGCTTGAGTCCGGACATACAATGGAAAGTATTCCGGCTATAGCATAGTCAGAGGGCATCGGTTTCCACTACTACAGGAACATCCGGCATCCAATGCGTAAGCACTGGAGCGGTAGTGAAAGCTTTCTTGAGTTCTTCGAAGGATTTCCGACAATCTTTGGAAAAGTTCCATGGAGCATCCTTGCGTGTAAGCCGTTGTTAACGGAACCATGATATCCGAGTAGTTGAATATAAACTGTCTATAGAATTTGTGAATCCAAGGAAGGACTGGATATCCTTGACTTTCTGGGGTTCCGGCCAGTCAGTAATAGCTTGGATCTTCTCGGACGACATAGTCAAGCCGTCCGGAGATAGGAGGTATCCGAGGTATTCAACGGAAGTGGAATGGAATTCGCATTTTCGGGTTTGGCATAGAGACAATGTTTACGGAGTCGACGGAGAGTACTTACTCTCGGACGTGTTGTCTGTGGGACGCAAGATCATGGGAATAGATAAGGATGTCGTCCAGATATATGATAACGCATACATCCAGCATATCAGCAAACATGCCATTGACAAAGCGTTGGAATGCTGCTGGAGCGTTAGTGAGACCTTCTGGCATTACCAACCATTCATAAGAGCCATAGCGCGTTCGGAAGGCAGTTTTCCCATTTGTCCTCTTCCGCTATCCGGACGAGATGATAAGCGGATCGGAGGTCGATTTTGGTATAAACTTTAGCGTGGCTCGGAGAGTCTAATAGGTCGGCAATGAGGGGGTAACGGATATCGGTCTTTCTTAGTGATCTGGTTGAGTCCACGGAAATCCACACAAAGGCGGAGAGAGCCGTCCTTTTTCTTGACAAATAGGACCGGAGCTCCGTGAGGAGAGGATGAGGAGCGGAGGAGTCCAGAGGCAATATTTTCATCAAGAAACTTCCGGAGGGCTGCAAGCTCAACCGGGGATAGAGAATAGATAGTTCCGAGGGGGGGACTAGTTCCTTCTTCCAGATCTATGTTCAGATCATAAGGACAATGTGGAGGAAGTTGGCCAGCCTTTCCCTTGTCGAAGACATCCGCAGATTCATGATAGTCCGAAGGGATTTTGGATAGATCCGGAGGATCGGACGAGAGAGACGCGGACCGGAGATTGACACCGGATGGATGAAGGTATATACTGAACTGGACCGATCCTTCTAACTTCCAGGCCTGGCAAAAGGCAACTGCATTGATTAGGGATATGTTAGGAACGGTGTTATCAGCGGAGGGTACAGATGTAGTCGGAGGAGGTATGGTTTCCATCGAAGGAGGGATATCCGAGGACGGAAGTGACGTCGGAGGGGTCGATGGCATTCCATGAGATGTCGTCCAGAATTCGATGCTGCCCAAAACCCAGTCAATCAATGGATTGTGTCGGGTGAGCCAGCTATATCCAAGAATGATAAAACAAGATGAATCCAAAGGGGTAATGTAGAACATATCGGAGGTGACTACACCGGACGGAAAATGGACGGACAAATCTATAGCTTCGGAAATAGTATTATTACAAGTACCATCAAACAAGCAGAGTGGAATTGGAGATATCGGATATGTAGGGATTTATGTTTTTGGACGAATGCAGTGTCTATGAAACAATGAGAAGAACCACAATCTACAAGAGCTGGAAAATCAGATACGGATGGAAGTAACGGAAGTGAAACATATGGACAGAGGGAAGTCGGATCTGAGAGCGCAACAGCGTTGAGTCTTAACTCCTTTGTGCAGGCAAGAGTCAACGCGACCCTCTTCCTGCATGGAGCTAGGAGGGTCGCGGACTATTTTTTGTCTCAGTAGAGACCTCTGGTTTTGACTTCCAGAGCGACTACTGCAGCGCAGCCTTTGGCAGCGCACGAAGTAGACTTATTGCATTCCCGAGCCATATGGCCGGGTCCGCCACAGAACAAGCAGAGTTTCTTGTCCAATCTTCTCTGCCGTTCTTCAGATGTTAACTTTCTGTCCTTACCCAGCTTGGAATTAAGGTTCGGAACTCTAGGAGCGGACGAGCTCGACGACACGGATGGCTTTGCAGATTTCTGGTTATTGGAGTTGGAGTTTCCGGATTTGTTATTTCCGGATCCAGACGCATTGGCATTGGTCCAGTCAGAAGTGGATTGCTTAGGGGTAGTGGATTGAAGCGGGTTTAGTCTCTCGGGAGATCTCTCCCTTCCGTTCCCAGTATTGGGCGTCTATAGTCTGAGCAAGGGTTTTGTATTCGGAAAGAGTAGAGGGTTTACCCATGCGACTGATTTCATCCTTGATACGGGCCGGAAGTCTGTTATAGAACTGGTGTCATAAGGCTCTGTCGCCCCAGCCACAGACCTGTGAAGCAAGACGCTGTAATTCCACAATGTACTTGTTGATGCGCTGTCCGTCACGCATGTGGAGCTGTTCGAGCTGCATTTCTGCATCACCGGATGGGTCGTGAGGTCCGAAATTGGTTTGGAGTTCAAGCATGAACGCGGAATAGTCGTTCATCCAATCTGGATGATCGTCCAAATCATCGGACAGGAGATCCGGTTAAAACCATTGAAGAGCCATACCCTTAAGGTAGGATTGGGCGAAGTTGACTTTAGCCCTTCCGGTACGGAAAGCCTTAGGCTTGCTCTGGAAGTTAAGCTCACACTGGACGAAGAACACACAGAGCTTCCGTGGTTCGGATCTGTCAAAGGTATCCGGTTTGCGGACCTTGACTTTGGAATCTTCGGATGCGGAGTGCGCGACGATTATTGCGAGCGAGGTTATCGATGGCTTCTGATAGTCAAAGCATAACGTGGTCCTGTGGGTTTAGGCCGTCGTTTTCATTGTCATCATCATCCGGATCATCATCCAGGTCACCACCATTGTCATCGGGTGGATTACCAGGGAAATCATCATCACCATCATCAGGATCATCATCATTGTCCGGAGGTCCTGTGGCAGGAGTGCGCGTAGGGGTTTCCGGGGTGTCGACGATTAAGGAGTTCAGATATGGTTTTGAGCGGGGTCCACGACTAACGCATTGCTGAGAGAAAGTGGTGAAGGTGTTGACTATGGGTGTCGGATCACGATGGAGGGAGGTAAGTCCGACCGCGTGCAGAGTTGTTTGTGTCTTGGTTCATCTGGAAAAACACTATAGTTATTTAGGTAATAGTCACTTGACTATCTCTTACATAGCTATCTTACATCATAAGACGGACATAAATATTAATGGCACTTCTCTGTGTGTCATAATATCACTTTGGATACTATAGGAAAAACAGAGTAACTAGAAAAAATTGTCTACCAGATTGTCTGATACGAATACTTGCTAGAGAAGTTATTCAAATAAAACCTTTTGCATTTATCTAACACTGTATCAGTAGTCCATTCAGCAAGAACACCATTAGAAAAGTCAGGTATCAAATGACAACTCTGATGTATAGATGAAAGCTTGACAATAGCTCCAGGTAAATGACCGTCAGCTAATGGTACAGAGTTTGTAACAAGATACATGCCATGATGAGGCTCAGGAGCAGTTTTTAGTTTGGCAAACCATTCTACGTATGCCAATGGTTCAGAAGGCCAGGTAGATGGTGCTGTCCAGGAACCATAGAGCTTGACGGGTAATCTGAAAATTACTTTCAAGCGTCCAATCCTAGCACCTAAAATGATAAAGTCAATCTTAAGTATTTAAAAAAAACTGGATCACTTACCTTGTAATCCAGTAGATTCACAGTCCTCACTGATCATAACTACAACGGTATCAAATCTAGCAGGGCTTCCTGAGCTCTTGGGTTTAGCCTTGACACTATCTATCTCCTCATTCTCCAGATGCAAATCAACTTCATTGCCCAAATCATTCAGACTAAATCTGAAACCATGAAAGACATCCAAAGAGCTGAAAGGAAGGGAAGCATTTCTGAGTCGTCCACCAGCAATATTGTTGTTATTGAAGGAATTGATGAAGTAGGTTAGACTGCGTTGAAATCCAGGGCAGGCATGTTTCTCCATAATTTCTTGAATGTCCTGGTTCTTTCTGGCTGGATATTTTGCAATGAGAATATTTTGATCTTTGAATCTAGAGTAAGTGAATTCTTCCTCTTCATTTTCTAGCGTCATTTTAAGATAGGCCTTAAATGAAGATGCCTATGATATAGATTGTAAGCAAAGAACGTCAATATATTTTAAAAAAAATCACCTTCTCTCTTCTACTTAGCCAGGATATCATCTGAGGCATCTCATTGCAGTGATTTGATGCGTACCATCCCTCTTTACAAAAGTCTATGTGAAAATGCTCCATCATTTCTGTGTTGTAGTTGTCGGTTGTTCCAAACCAGGTGATAGAGTCGACATAATGAAGAAGGGAATGGATTTTTGGGATATCCAGATGTTCCCTAACTCCAAGATTGAAAAGAATATTTTTGTGACAGTGAAAATCTTGGAGGGCCTTTTCCATATATGCCAGTGTGTCGTCGTCATGTGAAGGATATTGAGCGAGATAGATAAAGTCCAGTAATGACCTATAGCTGATGATCACATCTCTAGGAACTTTGCCTATCATACAGCCCAGCAGAATGCGTGCCATATGTTTGCGATCCTTTCCTCCAATCTGACCTAAAGAGGACCATCCATTCTTGAAGTGACGTAGACCATAACATGGGGGAAGAGATCTAATACAGGCGTCCAGTTCTTCTTCATTCAAGAGATTCTCAAGTCATTCTACCATGTGCTTGAATACATCTTGATAGAGTTGATGTAACACATCAGGGGTTATAGAATGATGAATATCGCAGTGAGGGAAACCATGCCAGAAGGGTAGAAAGACTCCTCCTCCGACCCCAGCTTCCATGCATTAGTCTTGAATGCAGAGCTAGTATTTGTAGATGATTTCGCCTCCTCAATAATGCCCATAGTCCATGTCTGTGTCTGTACAGTGGACTGACTGAGCTCTGCTAGCTCATCAGTTCTAGCTTGACATTTTGGACAGGTACCGTACTTTGAACAAGTCACCAGACATTGTTCAGGGTAGTCTGCAACATAGCAGGCAAGGACAGGAAAGATGAGGCGTACACATCCATCTCCACCTGTAATCTCCACTCCTTCAGCACCTGCTAATTTTAGGGGTTCCAGGATAATTCGCAAGGAATCATGAAAAAGTCTCTGTGCTCTTGAAGACACTTCACGACTGGATAGATCGTCCTTGAGAATCTTGTCCACTGATAAGTAGCCTAGTAGAAAGCAGGCTTGCTGAGATGGCTTCCTACGTATTGCTCTAGGAATATTTCCCAACGTCAAATAGATAGGATATGCTGATTTTGATGAGGAGAACTGAGTGAGCTGTGTTTTGTCCGTAGCAATTATCACAGGAGCTAGAGCAGCCCCTACTGGTAGACGATTCTGAACTTTGCATTAAAAATCTTGATATTAGATATGTCTGAGAACGCATACCTGAATAGCATGCCACCATTTTCCTGACCACATTTCATTATATATTCTCACTGATTTTGTATGATCCCTGAAGATTTTTTTGGGGCGATATACAATGTCTTTGGCATGGACAGGGTTTCCAAGTAGTGATTGTATAGCATCAATGGGATTCCGATAATATTTATTATATTCGTCATTTGGGCGATCTTCAAAGGCTAACTTCTTAGAATGCCACTCAGCCCTGGGAGGGATGACGTCCAGAGACTTGTGCAGTGCTCTAGTGTTGTGATAAGATAGACCTAATCTTTCTTGCACCTGGTATTGGATCAGTAGGATGTCATTATTTTTGTAGAGTATAAGTCTACTAACCCCTGGAATAGCTAATAGACGATCCAAAGCCCCATGTCCTATCCCTCCCAGTCCAAGCGACTCTCAAAGGGATGAAAAGCACCCTGTTCTTCCTCTTCATTCTTCTTCTGCACTCCAAATTGCTTTTGCCATCTTTCATGAAGTGTAGAATCCATTCTAATGACCTTTCCAGCTGTCAAATGAACAACTTCTACTCTGTTATCATCTTCATCTTCCAATAGTCCATGTCTGGAGGATGGTCCTGGGCCAGCAATTGGCTCTGTATTAACATCACCATCATCATAATAATAATTATCATCTAATAGGCGTATACTTCAGTTTCTGCCTATTTATTTAAAAATTCATATACATACCTAGTTGAGCAGGGACCAGGTCAAACATCTCCTGGTATAAGTCCCCTAGCACATCTTCAGGCTCCAGCTCATCCTCTGGTGGCTCAGTACTACAGACTTCAGCTAGTTTACCTTTCTTGTACCAAGCGCAGGATCTGGCAGTACTGATATGATGATTGCAACCTTGTTCAGTCTGAAAGCATTTACCACAGGAAGCTGGACAAGGATATGGAAGATTCCTAGGAACAACAAATTGTTGTCTGGTCATTGTGAGTTGTGATGAGCACGCTAGTCTGCTCAACGTTGAATCACTGCTGCATTTTATGACAACAATACCAAACAATGAACTCCATATCAATCTGTGTGTAGTGTGATACATATGATGCAATTGAAGCTAAGGAAACAATCTAAGAATGACTAGGAAAACATTAGAGAACAACATGAGAGAACTACAAACGTTGCAAAAACATATGGATATCAAAGACCTTGCCAGCGCGGTTTCTTCCTGGACCTATTGTTTTCATCACCATCTTCATCCTCATGTATGGCGGGAAGAGTGGTATGGACAAGACCGGTGGAAGCGGAGCCATGGAGATTAAAGAGGGTAGGCCGTGGAAAAAATCAGGCCCAAGGATAGTCTGACTGATGTGGTATTGAAGGCGTTGGGTATCTGAAGGCTGCGTAGGAACCCTAGATGATGTAGATGTAGATGTAGATGAAGACGGTAAAGACATTGTTGTATCTGTCCTGAGCCTCACTCTATCCACTGAGTCAACAGCAGGAGATGGCGCAGACACTGCAGACGACCTGCCTGGCTTTGGTGTGTAGGTCCCAAGGTATGGCCTTTTCCCAGTGACCTGAGCCAAAGGCGTGGAGGACATGTTAAAGGACTTCATTGCCCGAGAGGCAGCAGATGCACGAGGAAGACTGGCCAAGTCCTCCGCAAGAAAGTGAGGGGAGTCGGGGGACCCAGATGAATGAAAGATGCCGAAAGTAGGGGGAGGAGAGGATTGACTACCTGGAACGCCTGGGGGAATCATGAGGCCAGGGCGCCTGTTATTTTGAGATTGGCAGGATTCACGAGAGGCACTACGCTCTTGGCGAGTACGAATTTCCTCCGCATCATCATTGGTAAAATCATGACGCAACCTTGCCTGGTAACGCTCACGTGCGTCTTCAATAACCTTGGGAGATGGTGGAGCTTCATCTTTCATGTCCTTGAGCATATGCTTGATGATATTGATCATCATTTCATGAGTCGCGCCCACAGCTGAGTCGTCCAATGGAACATAGGGAACAAAATCACGTTCAGCGTCAAGGGTCTCATAACTCTCACGGATGAGATTGGCAGGCATGAATATGTGAAACATCTCTTCCAGCCCATGAGGAATTGCAGGGTCATGCCAGAAGGGGTGAATGAGACATTGGTAAAACCTCCAGTTGCCCAGCGAGGCGAGGCAGTCTGTAAGAATGTCTTGGTATGTGATGTTTTGAATCCCATTGCGAAGCCATTTGGGTGGTCACGTCCAGGGAGCCAAGGGATGAGTAAACATCACCACAGCATTGCTTGACCTCTTGAAATGATTGTTCTGCCAGTCGACAAGCTGACTGTAGGGACCTTCACAGTTGATGGTCACCCACAACATTGACCACCAGAACCCCTCCAAGTCGTGCTTTGAGGTGTGCACGATGAACTGGCCGAATGGGTCCGCGAGTGTCTCGTTGCTCATGTACAAGGGCGATCCCTGCAACAACATCAAACTCATGAGTGATGCCAGATAGTCATGAGGCAAATGTCATTACTCACTGAGCGATCCATCGCTTGCGATGGCTTATCCTTGAGCTTGGCAGCGCGCTCCTTCTTGATGGTGGCGTTGCCAGCACGCATCAACCCACCTGTGCCACCACCATCGCCAGTCTCTATCCTACACGTCTTCGCCGGTTTTTCAGTGAGTAGCTTGGCAAACTTGCAACTGTCTGAGGGCTTGAATCCAAGCCCGAAATTGCCTAACTGCGCTTGCCTTGGGAGAGGGGGATCATTGCCAACCCACCCAGGGACGGCAGCCTCTGCAGAGGCGTTGTCGATGACAATCCAGAGGTTTGAAGGCATAATGTCCTTGTGGAGAACCTGGGCAACTCTCTCCGCGAATCGGTATGCTGTACAATGTACGATGGTATGAGTTTCATGTCTCGATGAGATGCGTTGAATGATCATACCTTCCAAGTTATGCATAATGCATGTGAGGTACTCCCTTGTGGAAGAAAACCAGGTAGAGTCTACTACAACGTCTTTGAAAACCAGACGATAACGCAGCCTATGCTCAAACATTTCTTGCAGCATCATGACATCACCGTCATTCAGATCTATTACTGCGCACGACCATCGCACATTGGTAGCCTCATGCACCAGCTCTCCATTGTTGGGATTGACAGATTGGCAGAAATACTCATGAAGGACGTCAGGGATGTCGAGCATGGTCAGGTCCTTGTGAAGTTCGGCGTCAACATGCAATTGGCTGCGCTTGGTTTGTGTGAGGCATTCACGTTGTAGAGACTCCATTGCGAGTAGCCTCACAAAGGCCGTATTTCCACTTCGTCTCCACTAACGCGCGCTATATACGACAAGGCGACTTAAACGCGCTAAACGCGCAACGCTTCCGCCTAATCCGCGCATCCGCGCATCTGGCGCCTATAGCGCGCCTCTATAGCGCCTTTCATGTTACTACGGCGCCTTTGCGCGCGCTTTCGCGCTTTACCTTCGCGTTCGCTTTTCCAAGTCGCCTGTCCTCCGCACGTCCTGTCCTGTCCCTCTATGATCCGCTGGTGCGTCTCCCTTTATCTTTTCAACTGACTTTAGCTATATACCTCGTCTGTTTACACATATTTCCTTATTCTACAACACAACAACTCTTTTTCGCTTCGCTTCCGCTTCGGCTCAGCGCCTGGGAACATTTACCTTAGACATGGGGACTCTGATAGATTTTTCACTTACTTACTTACTCACTACATCCCATCATCCTGCATCAGTGTATACTGTGAATCAATTTCTATTCATTTGCAACACAACCACTGCGCGACTCTCTATTCTTTTGCAACAAGCTCTCTTGAGAAAATCTGGAGAGACCTTCACGCTACTTCCGCCTCTTCACTAACGCCTATAGCGCGCTTGTTCCGCCTCGCGGTTCCGCCTACGTCGCGCTTTCGCCTTTCGTCGCGTTAACGCGCGTTTCGCGTTTACAAGGCGTCTTGCACCCGCGCTTTGCGCAGATTCCCTTGCTGACTCGTTCAGTGCATCCCCTTGCATTTACTCGAGGAAAAGACTCAGTAAAGATCCTCTTGGGCCGACTTCTACTCGCGTTCGAGGACTACTGCAGGCGACTTATCTTATATTTTTCAGTATAGACCCACTCACAATTCCTCATCTTCAACATATATGCCTGATGAGGTAGGCCTCGTGCGTTTCGGCGGGTGTGGGCCAGGAGTCCTTCACCACAACATGTTGGGGATATTGGCCAGCGGATGGAATGGCGGGCTTGGCAAGGAGGATCTGGGTTCCTTTGCCAGTGAAAGAGAATGAGTGAAAGAGGTGGCTCTCGATCATCAACTTGTTTAAGTATTTGTTAGGATCGCCCTTGACGATGGTAGGGAAAGTCATCTCAAACAACCCAGAGAATGTTGGGAAGAATCGATCATCCCCAAGTTCATCGTCTGGAGCAAGGGTGAAATGAGCGACCGCCTGGATAAAAATTGCGATGTCCTCTGCCTTTGAAGCATTGACATCTTTAGTCGTGCAGTTCCCACCACGATCGGTGAGGCAGAGTGTGAGGAGGGGACCGCACTGGGTGAACCCAAGACAGAAGCGACGGGAGTAAGAAGACATCATCATGAACCAGCTTTGATCAATGACATATCATAGTGCTGCGACTCGGAGCTCGCTTGATGAAGCATACTTCACTTCACCTATATGATGATTGGCGATTCAATGATAAGATAATGGTAGAATGAGTCATGGAATCTTACCTCACTCCGAGACACACGAAGCTGTGCAGTGATGAACCACGGCAATATCCGGCTTACGACGACGGGCGACATAGTTATGGGCGAGGGAGATGACTCTGCGTGGATCCGGAAGATCAGAAACATACAAGGATGGGAAGTGGCTCATAACGAAACTAGAGCGAAGGTATGCCCAGACAACTACAGAAATGGTCCAGTACAAATATGCAACATCACTTTCATGAAATGCCGGTGGTGTGGAAGCATTGAAATCTGGGCCAGGGACTAGGTTGGGCAAAGGTCTTGGATGAATCTTGACTGTTTGCGGTGTGATGTTGCTGTCTAGAATCTCTCCAATAGCACGCTGAATGGTGGCCATCACTTGCCTGTCGTCCTGGGCATCCTGCTTGGGCACGTTCCACTGGGTTACCGTTGTCTGCATTTGCAGTTGGATATCGAGGATACCAAGCACTTGAAGAACTGCAAGAAGCTTCACCAAGAATATGAGCGATAGCCACTTCCTGTGAGTTAAGAGGTACTTACAATATTCATTTGCTCAGGGATACACAAACCGGCATTGGAAACCCACACCTTGTTTCCCCATACCACCAAGGTAGCATCTATGGAATACCTCTGGGTTTCATCTGGCGCCGCAATCTCTTTGCGAAGGATATCGTCCATGATAGCGTGTGTCGCATGTTGTTCGATATTTCGGCGAGACAAGCCTGACAGACCTTGCATCTGATATATTATTTAGCTTTACTGCAATAACGATACAGAGACGAACTCACTTTAACAATGCGCAGGCCGTTTGTAGGAAAACACCGCAATGTGAGGTCTTTCTCCCTGAAGTTGTAGTGACCGGAAGACAAAGCAGAGGTTGCCACAGCACTCTGTTTCCAAGAGAGTGAACATAGGCGCTGATTACTCAGCCAGAAATCGTAGTGCTCACATTAACACCTGCAACTCTGACACGGTCTGGGACTCTACTAGCATCCATGATCACTCGAAGATTTGAAGTGCGTAAGGGAGGAAGGATGAGCTAGATATGCGAAGTTATATGGTGAGTTCTCTGATGAAGAATGCAAAGTTCTACTCACCTATCTGTAATCATGATAGATCAACCACAGCGAAAGGTTCTTTACCTCCGCGGTTGACCATTCTGCCTTATCGATGGATAGAAGATAATCTGAATTATGGGATACATGCGTGGGAAATCATTGCTCATCGTCCGATCACAGGTGATTCAACGATGAGCCCAACTCAGATTTTGCCGACAACACTTCCCAACGCAGACTCAAGTATGTGCAATCAGAAAATCTTTACATTGCAGCTAACTACAGAAGAACTTATTTTCTTTGAGCAAGTGCTTTTAGGTTTAGTTCAGGCGCGGCACCATAGTGACATGTTGTCATCATTGCTACATAGAGTATACAATTTGCGCCTTCATCATATTGTCACCCCTCCAACCCCGAGTTCTTCCATTCATACCGGAGTTTCCCTTTCATCACCTTCAACACCACCTCCAACATCTGCCTTTCCAACACCGGTTTCTGGCATGATGCCTTCGCCCTAACCTTTTGTGGGTGATGGAACCCTTCCCACGGACAAGCACACCATCAGTGACTTTGAAGAAGTTGACTTATTCTTGCAAGACAGTGTCGGTCCTGACAGCAACATTGGATATGATGATGAGGTTGTAGGTATAGATGATGGAGAGGAGAGGGATGAGTTTGAAGGTGGTGCAATCCGACCAGATACCAGGAAGGTTCGTCAACATCCGTATGCTCGTCCTGATGATGGCAATGTCCCCCCCTTGGCCCCAATTGTCCTCGTGGCGGGCGCCCCCTTGTTGCAAATGCGAACTGGAGGGAACGGGCTAGGGCAGTTCATTCCAACCACATTACCGCTGATGCCCTCATTGGAGCCCTTGCCACTCCTCACATAGATGCCGCCTCCCCTTCTCTCAATGTTGGGGCATGGGTTAAGGAGATTGCGTCTTATCTCAAAAGCACCCACTACGTCAACTTAGGTGGTGGTTCCATAGGAGAAACGATAGCACACTGTCATTCAATCTCACACCAGCAAACCGGTGAAGGATCTTCAACTCAGCTGAGGGTGCAGCTGATATAATTGTTGAAGGGAGGAAAATATGAGTGCAATATGTTCGTCCCTTAGGGGAAGCGGAGAAAGCAAATATCCACTGGTCAACTCTAGGGGGAATGCGCAAAGCGCGTGATAAGGCGAAAGCGCGGGAACAAAGGCGCTATAGGCGCGCGAAGCGCGGGAAAGTCACGCGTCGAAAAGCGGAACTGGGTGAAAGCGGTATGCGAGCGATAGTGAGATGTTAAGACGTGTACTGAGATGCTGATAAGACAACTGATGCGGATATGGCCACTAGAGCTAACTGCTACTAGGGCTTGCGATGATTTATTCAAAACATAATAAAAACTCGGAGATGGTGACTGTCTATGATGATGGTGGTCCGTGGTAATGTGTGTTCTGTAAAGTAAAAATGTGTAATGAAAAATGTGTACCAAGTGAAAATAAACATGGTACGATGTTGAAATAAATGATAAATGGAGAAATGCATACCTGGGAACTTGGTTGGACATGGGAAAACACAGTGGGAAGTCAGGCGCCCTATGGCGCTTAGGCGCGGGAAAATTCGCCTAAAGCGTGCGCAAGTTGCGCAAGTGTCGCCTATGTCGCGGAAGTGTCGCCTAAGTCGTGCGCGTCGCGCGAACGTCGCGTTTATCGCGCTAGTGTCGCGTTGCATGCATAGTATTGTAGACTCGACCTACAGTGCAATATATGCCATTGTGAGGCTACTCAGGATCGAGTCTCTACACCGGGTCCAGCTTTGTCGCAATGCTCACATATATGCAGCTATCGATACAATGTCAAAGGCAAGCTTTTACTTAGCATTACCTTCTCACATTGACTCATCATATTTTAGCCTCATCAACTCCTACAAGGAGCGCTCTAGCATTTGTCGGGTTTACAACGGCCATGTTGCTCAGTTGCCCAATGCCCCTGCCCAGACTACCTTCAATTGTTGGAACACAATCAGATGCAAGTTCATATCGCTTGCCACTGGTGGATCTATCTACGTCTTGGTTCTGATCGCAGGCCTTGACATGCGATGGAAAATCGCAACACTGGGAGGTCGTGTTCCATGGGAAGTTGGAAAGATGCTGCGACAGCCGGAAACATGCAGTGAGCCCCCTTCATCATCAGGCTTCATTAACTAATGGCGTCCTCACCCAGAAACACCTACATTGATTCTTGAGCGCATAATCCCTGCAATTGCTTGGATCAGATCTCATCTGCCTCTGTCCCTTGAAAAAGTGTTCTGCCCTTCGCTCCTGGCCAGCATTGGGTTAGATGAGACCCTAGATTGTACCAACCTATCGTTCACCAACAAAGTTTTGGATGCTTTCAAGCAAAAGTACGTAGTTCATTGTTTAAATAATCACATGCCCTGACCATTTTTACGACAGCAATTATGTTCTTCCTCCTCGACATACCGACTCCTGGATCGCCTGCACTACTGCAGTAGTGCAGGTGATAATTGTTATCAGAGGTGATGGTAACATTAGCATGGATCATAGGCTCAACCCCGGTTACTCATATTACACCATACATTCTGTGGATCAAGCCCTTCGCGGGATACCAGGGGTTACTGTCATCCGGACGACCTTTGACCATGATCATCCCGACAACCGCAAGTTCTCTGCTGAGACCGATCGACAGGAGAACATCTTTTGGACCGAACAGGAGTGAGCAAGGGCAGAAGCTGGCAAAGTCATCCGAGATCTTGATGATTTGCGTGATAAGGTGAGTGTGCTAGAATTTGTATTCCAATTGCGACGCTCATGTGCATACTAAGTTAGACCAAAGATATGCCAATGGCAGCAGTGAGGAGACAGACACATATTTGCGCATTCCTATGGATGTGTTCGAAGGGTAAGTCAAGTCGATGTAATCGCCATGTGTAAATCAAACTAACCCCTCCATAGTGCACTTGATCTGAGAAATGCAGACGACAGTCTAATGGCCTTCGTCTGTCCAACCCTACCCGAATCCATCCGCAGTAACCTCCTCAGTTCATTCCTTGCATGCTTTGACGGAAACGAGGTCTTGTGTGTGCGCAAATTGAAGGACGACTTTCAGGCAGAAGACTGTCAAGATCAGGACGAGCAAATCCAGCATTGTGACGGTGTTACCTTGAAGAAGGTGGCGGAGAAGGTTCTTGAAAGTCCATTTCATTGCCTGCACTTTTCTATTTGGAATTGCTACGTTACAAAGGTGGGTATCAACATTAATTCCCTGTGAGACAATAACTGAACATGACACAGGGTGATCAAGCTCCTACTGATATTCATCCTCACTATATGAGCAGAGAGGATGTTAGTAGGACAAACCACACCCAAACTTTACCCTACCAGTCAAGAGATATCCTGGAGCACCAACAACTATACGAAAATATTCTCCTGGCGTTTGGTGAGGTTTTTGAATGGATTGATGAAGTGGTGAGTCGTTTGCTATTGTAGGGTGTGAGTGATATTGACACCAAGGCAGATCAAGGAATGCTTGCCCACAGAGTACGAGGTCCTGGTTGAACTTGCTCAAGATCTACCAGGCGGTGAAGTATCACCTGTGACACCGTTTCTCTCACTTGTCGTCAACCTCAATGTTTCTACCCTCGGTCATCGCGATAGGTTTGACAAGGACTTTTGTGTTGTCCTTCCATTGGGCGACTTCAGGGGTGGGGCTTTGGTTATGTTCGAGCAACGTTTGGTTTTGGAACTTCGCAGTGGTGACTTTGCTATGTTCCGTTCTGGTGAAACTACGCATTTTAACTTACCATATGAGGGGAAGCGTGCCTCCTTTGTGATGCATACAGATAAAAGCTTTGACACTTGGAAGGACACACACAATGGCTGGGCACCTAATGAACATTTCCATTGAGTATGTAGTAGCTTATCCTTACCTATAACCTCATGTTTCTCAATAATATTTTGATTGTGCGCTTTGAAAATTCCTATTCTCAGACTACACAAGGTAAAGATAAAGAATATGTACTACATGATATAAGGTGGAGTAGCATTAGAAGTTGAGACTAATCATCACCTTCATCCTCATGTATGGCGGGAAGAGTGGTATGGACAAGACCAGTGGAAGAGGAGCCATGGAGATTAAAAGAGGGCAGGCAGTGGAAGGATAGTTTGACTGATGGGGTATTAAAGGCGTTGGGTATCTGAAGGCTGCATAGGTTTGCTAGATGATGTAGATGTAGATGTAGATGAAGATGGTAACAATAGGGTATGAGGAGATGTATGATATGTCTATCATAAGCAATATGTAACATAACGTAACATATTTTGCAATCTAACCCTAGTAGGCTGTTGTCCCTTGGGACGTACTGAGAAACAAATATGCTGACATTTGCCTGGGAGTAACTCTGGTTCACTTCATACTACCAGTCCTAGCATTTTCAATGCCTTAATTCTGTGCTCTTCATAGTTCTCTGACATGCCCCCTAAAGCCAGGCCTACAAAGTCCTCTCCTACAAATAGGACTAGCTCTACTAACAAAAGTTCTTCAAGTCGTGGAGGACGTTGTAGAGACTCGATCCTGGGTAGCCTCACAATGGCACATATTGCAACATAGGTCGAGTCTACAGTATCATGCATGTAACACGACACTTGCGCGATAAACGCGACGTTCGCGCGACGCGCACGACTTAGGCGACACTTCCGCGACATAGGCGACACTTGCGCAACTTGCGCACGCTTTAGGCGAATTTTCCCGCGCCTAAGCGCCATAGGGCGCCTGACTTCCCACTGTGTTTTCCCATGTCCAACCAAGTTCCCAGGTATGCATTTCTCCATTTATCATTTATTTCAACATCGTACCATGTTTATTTTCACTTGGTACACATTTTTCATTACACATTTTTACTTTACAGAACACACATTACCACGGACCACCATCATCATAGACAGTCACCATCTCCGAGTTTTTATTATGTTTTGAATAAATCATCGCAAGCCCTAGTAGCAGTTAGCTCTAGTGGCCATATCCGCATCAGTTGTCTTATCAGCATCTCAGTACACGTCTTAACATCTCACTATCGCTCGCATACCGCTTTCACCCAGTTCCGCTTTTCGACGCGTGACTTTCCCGCGCTTCGCGCGCCTATAGCGCCTTTGTTCCCGCGCTTTCGCCTTATCACGCACTTTGCGCATTCCCCCTAGAGTTGACCAGTGGATATTTGCTTTCTCCGCTTCCCCTAAGGGACGAACATATTGCACTCATATTTTCCTCCCTTCAACAATTATATCAGCTGCACCCTCAGCTGAGTTGAAGATCCTTCAACGTGGTGGTAGGGCTCACACTGGGAGACAGGAGAGCATCAATCAAGATGAAATTACTATGTCAGCAGCTGAACTACAGTCTATGAGGACAGAACTGGAAAGGCTACACAAAGCTGAACGTGTGGAAGCTAACAAGACTGCTGAAGTCCAAAAGAAAATAGGTAAGTCTAGCTTAAAAAAATACACATACAAAATTCACTGTCACCAGAATCCAGAAAACTAGCTGCTCACAGATTGTCCCAAGAGACAGAGGAGGAAGAGTCTTCCCAACCCTCCTCTCCTAAGCGCATCAGGAGGAACCCACCTACTGATCTCATTGACGACGACCTAGATGAAGATGAGGAGGCTCTAGCAAGAAGTCTACCTCCTATTGTCAACTCTAAGTCTAGATCTAGACGTATTGACTCTGATGAAGAGGACCAGGACCAGGACCAGAGCCAGGAGACAGAAAGTCATGACAAAAATAAAGAAAGTGAGTGCTTACTTTTATTATCACATCTGAATATTTTGTAAACCTAGTTGATTAGCAGGTGTTTCAAATACTGAGGATAATCAGGAAAGCAGAGGGGAGAATGGAGAGGAGGGCAATAATAATGGTGTAAGTATTAAGTTGGCTTGGGATATATGATTTGACTGATAAATGCTGTACATCAAGATCATTGAGATCAGTGAAGAGGGACCACCTACTGGCAAGCGCAAGAGATCTCCCAATGGCACCAGAAAGGAGAAAGTCACTTTGTCTATACTGGAGAAGAGTATCAGAGATCTTGCTATAGCAGGACATGATTATCTACGCATGTATATTGCAACTCAAAACACTTTTCCTGACAGCACCACAAAAGCTTCTTTCTCCTGGAAGCATTTGGAGGAAGCTGTAGCTTCACGCAAGGAACTAAAACAACATATGGAGTGAGAGTCTAAGGTGGTGAAGACCAAAGAGATGCTCATAGACTACGTACCACCTCTTTATTTCTCCACTGACTTAATTCTAACTTATATCATCAGATGTGGAAGGGCGTCTCATCTATGAGAGGAACGGTGGCCAACAAGGCTAGGGAGACTATAGGTGATGCATTGGGACTTTCAGGGATGAAGAGGGACGATATTGTGGAGGCAGTTGAGTGGATGCTAAAGGATCTTAAGAAAGTCCGAAAGGGAGGTGAAGGTGAAGATGACATTTCTTTGCCTTTTATTTCTGGTGACTTGGACATCAAGGTAAGTTTTTCTATGAGTGCATGCCATCTAATTTTCTATTCTAGAATAAAACTTTTAACCGCAAAAAAACCTTTTGGCAATCATTTTTTCCTGCACATGTACCGCCTGTTTTTTATAGGCAATAACCCTGATGGGGTTCGTTACGTCCAACACTTCAGAAACTCTCCTCTACCCCTCCTTGCGCTAATCGCATCAGTGGTAAGGTAATTTTTTTGTATTAGATATCATGTGTTAGCTTATCTATATCTTAGATGGAGTGCGCTCTCTCTTGCTGGGAGACTGGAGTTTTTGTCAAAAAAGACTTCAGAGATGTGTATTACAAACCAAAGTATTTAATTTCAATTTCTGACAGACACTCCTCTATATTAACATATAATGCAGGTATCAATTCTACTTACGCTTTCTCAAGAATCTTCAGGAGAAGGCTCCAAGGTGGACGATGAAAATGAGGGAAGAGATGTACCAGAATGTTCTGTGAGTGTCTTTATTTTTCACATGTAGCTTTCCTCATGCTTCAACATCTACAGGGAAGAATCTAATATGACCTATCTTCTTCATATAGAGGATGATGGTGAAGGTGAAGGTGGGAATGGTAGACAGGAGGGTAAGATTGATGTAGATTATGATGCACTAGAAGTGTCTGCAGCTTGATAAGTAGTAGTAGCTTTGATAGCATCTATATCATTGAAATCTCCTATAACATTCAAAGCTTGAATAGCAATAAGAGCGTCAGCAGCAATATGAATTTCATAGTCCCAAGAGCTAATACAACTTATATATCAAGAAACTAATACAGTCATACAAGCTGGATTGACTATCGTAGTTATATATATATATTACTCTAGGAGCCTTACTAGTACTCTATGTGTCTTTAAAAGATAGGCACTTGTCTTGCACAGGTATATACCTCTAGGTGCTTTGGGCAGTATGTGTAATACAACTATGACTACTTATGATACAAAGAGAAATAGTGTTTTTCCAGATGTTGGAGGCATGATAGGTGTAAGTAACTCGGAAAGGTATGAGTTTGAATATACTGTTAAGACCGTTGTGACAATATAGTTTTCCCTGGGCTGATATTCCCCCTTTTTACTTACCTTCACTTACCCACTTTCCTTAGTTTATGTTCGCATTTTTACTGCTTACATAATCATGTCTCCCTTTCACCAGTGTCAGTACCAGTCTGAATCAGTCTTTTGCTTGATGATATTTCTACTCTCTGAGCTCTGAGTCTAGTACAGACATCCTTTAGGGTCGAATAGCAGCTAGGCATAGCAATTTTGACCCAACATTTGAAGAGTACTTTTCAGAGTTCTCTTCTTGTTGTGTTTCCCACACCGGTATACTGGTTATCCTTTACTTCTGTTATGCTTACTGATCCGCTTTAGCTTAGACTTCATTCCCGGTTATGATACGTTATCCATCCGACTTACCAATATGTTGTACACATACTTTGCTTATACTTCGTACATAGCCTCGCACCTTTGCTTATTGATCATTCCGTTAGTTATCCGTAGTATATAAACCCTTGTACATGCGCTGTAGTAGATCAGTTCAAATATCATCTTAGATTGCACTCATTCTGTCTGGACTCTAAGTCCCTCCGTTATCCGTCCAGACTTGAGTACGATACTCTTGTCTAATCCGAGACTTAGGATTGATTCATATAGTCTATATATCCGTCTCTGTCTTCGGACAGTCCTCACCCGTTAGTTTCTAGTTCAGATCCGATCTGGATTAGCCGTTACTCTATACGTTCGATATCCGGAAGCCTTAACGGATCTGTTATGATACTTATCTGTCTCACTAGACGCGATACTCTAGCACTCTGAAATAAGGGGCAAGACTCGGGAAAGGGGCACAGCGCACGAGCTGAGGCCAAAGCCCTTCGGATCCGATACTTCTTGAGTACGGTGTGGGAAACACAACAAGAAGAGAACTCTGAAAAGTACTCTTCAAATGTTGGGTCAAAATTGCTATGCCTAGCTGCTATTCGACCCTAAAGGATGTCTGTACTAGACTCAGAGCTCAGAGAGTAGAAATATCATCAAGCAAAAGACTGATTCAGACTGGTACTGACACTGGTGAAAGGGAGACATGATTATGTAAGCAGTAAAAATGCGAACATAAACTAAGGAAAGTGGGTAAGTGAAGGTAAGTAAAAAGGGGGAATATCAGCCCAGGGAAAACTATATTGTCACACCGGTGTACAGGAATGCCGAAAGGAGATGAACAATAGTTAGAGTTATATGAACAGGACATGAAACAAGGATTAGATCGGATCTGTGAACCGGACGACGGATATGTCCATTGGATCTGGATTGGATCTGAGATCTGGATCTTCGGATCTGTACCCGGGAATATGGTATATGACAAGTGCTTTCTGTGCTAAAGGGTCATGCATGGAGCGGAAGTTGTGGACTTGTAAGTTGCACCAGAACTTAGCCATCATCTGGATACGGTCTGCAGGCCATGCGGCTTCCTGCATGGCATCTATAATGTGTGGACAGGCCTGACAGAAGTCTTCAAAGTTAAGATTTTGGTCGTCTATGACCGCTTTGGCGTTGCGCATAGAAGTGGCTGATACCCATGCAGTGTCTCCTCCTGCTAAGGTAGCCATGATCATGGTGTCCTCATCCACGGAGCTCTTGAGCTTCGCGTCATCAAGACTGTCATTGAGAGTTCAATGTAATCTCCCTTGTCAAGCTTGTGTAGAGCATATGATGACGGGAGGATTGTAGGGTTCATAGGAACATTGAGATTCGGGACAGCAGTGTACTTATATTTCTTCTTCTTCTTCTTCTTGTCTTCTTTCAGTGTTGCTTCTTCCTTGTCGTGACACTCTTGCTCTTGTCTTTCCTGCTCATCTTCATTGAGTCTTTCTAAGTGTTCTTGTCGGTCTCTGTCTTCATCTAATTGTGCTTGCCACTGTGCTTTCACATCATTGTTCTCGGCTTGCCAGATGTTCCTGAGTACTATAATGGCCTGGTCTTCAGTCATGTTCTCATTGGTAAGTTGAAGCCTTGTATTGATGAATGTGTCGTCCACATAGTTAGGACAGATATTAGATTTGGGTCACTCAGGTAAATGAGGCATATTAAAGTGAGATGAATTCTAAGTTGTGTAAAGGAATGCTGAAAGAATGAGTGTTACAACTAGGAGTTGTCGAGTACTGAGAGCTTGCAAGTAGTAGTAGTACAAAGCAAAGAAAGAGATGTCCCAAAAAGGACATCTGCTGCATAGACGACATTCTATGTTTGTCCTCATTCCTCAGACTCACTTAGAAAACAAACCCTATTTCTTTATCATCTCCTCCTCGTCATGTATTGTTAAACAACCTTTCGCATCATCTCCACTGCATATGACTCGGACACTGATTTTGCTGAAAATCCTCATGCCTTATTGTGCTGATCAACTCAAATTTTTCCTTCGAAACGCTAATCTTCTTGATCAGTACCTGCAGCTACCCGATAAAATTAGACATGGCTTTCCTCTCAGGGGAGCTTGATCCCATTCGATACTACCTATGCTCCCCCTAATTTGCCTAGCGCACTTCGAGCATGATCAACTAATTCAAGATTACATCAAGGCTGAATTGTCACTCGGCTGCCTCTTTGGTACATTCATGCAAGAAGCTTTAGAAACCAAAATCAGCCCCTTCCACTCCTCTCTGCTGCAAGTAACTGTCAAAGAAGAGGCTCCTGGGCACCCCAAGAAATACTGGGTCTGCCACAATCTCTCCTTCAAAGGCCCTTCTGGCCATTCTGTCAATGACAAAATCGATGCTAAGGACTTTCCCACTCACTGGGGAACAGCGCAATTAGTTGCTGATTTTGTAAGTCTCCTCCATGCCTCCACATACCTCCCATCTCCACGTTTCCCCATCTGCTACCCTATCTTGCTTATGACCTTGCGGTCACCAGCCGCTGAGGAGTTCGCACGATAGGGACAGCCAATGCACCTTATAAGCCCCAAGGGCCTCTCCTTGCCTCCAAGCAACCCCCTCTGAGTCTCTTCCCACTCTCCGAGTCTCCTCCCAATCTCCAAGTTTCTTACTCACTATCCACCCTCCAGGTGGCCACTGCTCCCCCAGGCACTCGAGCCACTTCCCTCAATATCAAGGGTGCCTATCACACACCATCCCAATCCTCCCCAATCACAAATGTTACCTCGTAGTATGTTATCATGACCTATTCTTCCTTGATCATAACCTACCTTTCAGTGCTGCTTCAGCATCCGGTCTCCAGGGCGAAGTCGCTGACACCACCCAAGACATCTGGGAGCATGCCAATATCGGCCCCACTTGGAAATGGGTGGATGATTTTTTTCATCATCCGTGTACCTGACCCAGATGGTCCTTTCACTGGAATCTCCAATGGTATTCCTTACCGCTATCACTATGACCTCCACTCAGCCAAAGCCTACATTGGCCCAATCAACATATCTTGGCATCCAACCAAGGGTGCTGACTTTGGCGACATACACGAGTATGTGGATTATACCTTTGACTTCCTGAATTGGTCTGTATCTCTTCCCAAACCCAAACATCTCAAATATGTCTTCCGCCTCCAAACCTTCCTCGATATTTTCAAAAACAAACAAGTCTTCAAATGTGATGCTGAAAAGATCACGGGCATGCTTACTCATTGCGCCTTTGTTTTTATTTATGGTCGCACATACCTATCCAACCTCTATTGTTGAATTGCAGACTTCCCGAATGAATTCATCCTGCGCTTCATGCGTTCAGCTGTCATATCTGATCTGGGTTGGTGGCTCCAATTACTCAGGTCTGAACACCCTCCTTGTTCGCTCACTCCCCATCCTCCTACCTGCAATTATAACATCTGGGTCGATGCATCCATGGGATATGGTATCGGCATATTTTGGAACGGTCTTTGGGATGCATGGCATCTGTGTGACGGATGGTGCAATCCCATTGGCCATGATATCGGCTGGCTCGAGACCATCGCGGTGGAGTTCACAATTCGCATCTCCTTCCAATTTGGCATATCCAATGCTGATATTCTCATCCACAGTGACAACGAAGGCATTATCAGTGCTTTCAACAAAGGTTGATGTTCTAATCTCACCTCAAATATGTCCATCAGACAATCCGAGCAGATTCTCAGGTCTGCAAATCTCTCCATATCCCTTATATATGTCAATACTGCTGTCAATCTCACAGACCCCATCTCACGCAACATCCTGCCACCTCCTTCACAACACATTCCATTCCACATCACTCTACCAGCCGAGCTCACTCCATTTGTCTTGAATGTCGAATGACACTCCTACGGACCTCCTGAACCTCTCCCTTCTCAACATCCATGAAACAGCCGTCATACGTCCAGACGGTCGCGTCCGCATCCCACATCATCCTCGCAAAGACACCACCATTGCCTCTTCGTCTCACCGACCTCATGTCCTTGCAAGCGAACGCGTCCTTCTCTGGACTACTCCTCATGGCCTACAATTCCAAAACGACCTACTCCAATGCTTCCCCGACTCTATAATCCTAAAAATATTCTTGGTCATGATCCAATCTTTAGATGAGGACACACATAGTAACTACAGCACTGGACTACTCTGTTTCACTCAATTCTGTGATCTTCACAGTGTTCCTGAGCCCAATTGCATGCCCACTTCATCCAAACTTCTTGCTGCCTTTCTTGCCAATGCAGCTGGGACTGTCTCGAGCAGCGCTGCCAATTCTTGGATGGCAGATCTCCATTACTGGCACTCCGTCAATGGGGCGGATTGGCATGGGGGAGAATCAGATGTCCTTTGCCATGTCCGCCGAGGACTTTCAAAACTCACTCCCCCCAGTTCCAAATGTTCCAAATGTTCCAAATGTCCTCCCATGATTCTCACAGCTCTCTTGCAGTTAGCATCAGGACTCAACTTGAGCAACTCCTTTGACATCACTGTCTTTGCCATAGCCTGTGTTGCCTTTTGGTCTTGTTGTCAGTACGTACCTCCTCGTACTCTTCCACTATCACACCTAAGGCCTCTCCTAGCCTTGGGGAACTTCTCATCCCAAGTCCAAACACCTTTGACCCTGTCAAACATGTCAACCGCTCCATTCTGCCCATTTCAGTGCTCGATACTGACAATGTACATTGTACCACACTCCAAATCCCTTGGACAAAGACAATCAATACTGAAGGTGCTGCTATCAGCATCATGGGACATATGCATTCCACATGTCCTCTCAACACCCTCGTCCACCATCTGCAAAGCAACCTCAATATCCCATCACATGCTCCTCTCTTCTCCTTTGAAACAGCAGCCAGCTCCTGGTCACCCTTGACCAAGCCATGGTTCCTCGCACGCTGCAATGAAGTCTGGGTCTCTGCCGGACATCCTAGCATGCCAGGTCATGCCTTCCACATAGGCAGAGCCACGGAGTTGTTATTAGAAGGAGTCCATCCAGACATTGTCGCTATGCAGGGTTGTTGGAAGTCATGCACTTTCCTGGAGTATTGGCATCAAATCGAATCCATCCCTCCACTTTTATTTCCACTGCTATCAATTCCCCTCTTGTGATTGCCCGTCTAGACTCCACCATGCTCAATGTTCAATGCTCGCATTCGCTACCTAATACTGCATTATCTCGTGTATAACTGTGTCTGTCCCTGTACTTCCTACTGATCCTCTTGAAACATGTGCTTTTCTTGCATCCACATCTCGTATTGTGTCTGGGTTCGGGTTCCTCGAAGAGGAACTCGACTGTAGTCAAATCGTGCTCATTCTGGTGTGGTCTCATTTTCCTCTTCGCGGTTTTCTCTTCCCGCAACTCGAGACTAACCTTTTCACACTCAGAAGGTTTGATTTTTTCTCTGCACTCGCACAGGTTCATGTCATGTTGATGCATTAAACAGTACAACTGTAGCGCACCAATGATGCATCATTGGTGCAATTGTACTACCTTTGCTTTTCTCACACTGATGCATCAGCCTGCTGTGACAATCATATTGGCGCTAGTTATGTATACCTGCATAAACCTTCAATAGGTGGACCAAAGTTATCCCTCATATTATTCACTACTCCCCTATCAGCAGTCTCCACTTGTCTCAGCCACAACCCTTGTCCGATGCTATTCTGCACTTTCCCGCACTATGTGCGCACATTCCCACAGCACTATTCATGCTCCCGCGACTTATCCGACGCTATTCCCCGCGCTTATAGCGCTATCAGAACTACCAGCAATGTGTCTATAGGAGCATTAGTGCATGTCCGCTCTACCTAGCGCTTGTCCACTCTATCTAGTGCTTGTTCCCGCACCTAGCGCTAGTCCAGCGCGCTGTTCTCGCGCTCTAGGAATCACCCGAAATGTCAGGATCCATCCATGGATCAGCCTACCTCATTGGTATGTAATTTGCCTTGCCTCGAGTTTGTAACAAGTGCTACAGTCTTATTACATGTATATCCTATCCCTTCCAAGTCCGAGATGGTATAGTTTACTAGTATAAGAAGCCTATGGTGACTACTTTGACATTACTTCCCTTCGACTGTATTTCCTTTCCCTTAGGTTTTACTTAGAAGTAGTCACCCTTTAGTTGCGCTGTATGGCCCCTATTTGACTTTCCTTACCCTTGCAATCAATACCCTTGATCTCTCTCGCTATCCATTACCTTCCTTTGACTCAGTGTCCGCTTTCTTGACTTCCGCTCTTTCCTGCGCATTAGCGCTCTATCTTGCGACGCACTATTCCCGCGCTTTAGCACTCTTTCAGGTCTTTTGATCTTAAGTTGATCTTAGTAGCTGTTCCCTCGGGTCGAACATTCTTGCATCTTTGTTGCAAGTATAGCAGCATAGGCAGAGCATTAGACATATACTGGCTGAGTACCTTAACAAGTGCCTAGTCAGGTTGTGTTTTTCACACCTCTTCATGTTGATGCATGCCCACCGCCATCCCCTCCATTTGCTGATGCATCCCCCTTCATTTTCTGATGCATCAGTCCTCTCTTTGTCATGCCCTCCCACTGTCTTGTGCCCACTGTCCTCCCACACCCAACCTCACTTTCTCGTGCCCTCGCGCCATTTCGCATGTGCTATCACACCCACCTATCGTTACACGTGTGTATTGCATTTATTATTTATCTACTCATATTACAACAAATGTCTACTATGTGTCCATGTCCATGTCTTGCTGAGCAACGAGCGAGTTGTGGTCAAATGTGTCTACCAGTGCCAAGGTGTTGGTCCAGCTGGTCTTGAAGGACTCAGCAAGCATTTGACATAAGGAAGCTTGATGTTTGGTGTATGCCATACAGCCCTCGCGTTCATCTTCACCTGCATCCTCTAACATGTTTTCCAGGCCCTGCTCGTCCCAGCGCTGTGCATCCCATTCCAAAAATTGCAGAATCCTTCGCATCTCCTCCTTCAACAATTCCACCTCTTCTGCCCAGCGCATCACCCGTGCCCTGGCTTTGCACCATTCTATTTGCATGTCTGGTTGTCCATGAGTCTGACTAGGAACCATATGAAGAGCCACCTACCTTCCGAGGCATTGTCTTTGTCTATCTCATTGGCAGCCACTCCCTGCAAATTCCAAATCCATGACAACTTTCTCGTTCCCTCTGTTTTCTCCCCATAATAAGTCCGTCATCGAGTGGACATCAGCTCGGTCTAGCAGTCACAGTGATGAGTGCCACCCAGTCTGATTCACTCGTGGTGAAAGAACCACCAGGGCTTTATGCGCTGAAGGATCTTCAACTCAGCTGAGGGTGCAGCTGATATAATTGTTGAAGGGAGGAAAATATGAGTGCGATATGTTCGTCCCTTAGGGGAAGTGGAGAAAGCAAATATCCACTGGTCAACTCTAGGGGGAATGCGCAAAGCGCGTGATAAGGCGAAAGCGCGGGAACAAAGGCGCTATAGGCGCGCGAAGCGCGGGAAAGTCGCGCGTCGAAAAGCGGAACTGGGTGAAAGCGGTATGCGAGCGATAGTGAGATGTTAAGACGTGTACTGAGATGCTGATAAGACAACTGATGCGGATATGGCCACTAGAGCTAACTGCTACTAGGGCTTGCGATGATTTATTCAAAACATAATAAAAACTCGGAGATGGTGACTGTCTATGATGATGGTGGTCCGTGGTAATGTGTGTTGTGTAAAGTAAAAAAATGTGTAATGAAAAATGTGTACCAAGTGAAAATAAACATGGTACAATGTTGAAATAAATGATAAATGGAGAAATGCATACCTGGGAACTTGGTTGGACATGGGAAAACACAGTGGGAAGTCAGGTGCCCTATAGCGCTTAGGCGCGGGAAAATTCGCCTAAAGTGCGCGCAAGTCGCGCAAGTGTCGCCTATGTTGCGGAAGTGTCGCCTAAGTCGCGCGCGTCGCGCGAACATCGCATTTATCGCGCAAGTGTCGTGTTACATGCATGATACTGTAGACTCGACCTATGTTGCAATATGTGCCATTGTGAGGCTACCCAGGATCGAGTCTCTACAGCGCATACTCATAAGTGCTGGCAGCAGCCTCAATCCTCGCCTCAACAGCTTTCAATGTATTCCGTGCCCTTGTGTTTGCTCCTTGTCCACAGAGGTTGCGGTCTTTGTACTTGAGGATTGCAGTCTGAGCATGTAAGTTTGAACGCAGAGAGCGAGGTGCATCGTGACCTTGTGCATATTGCAGCTTCCATTTAATGGCCTGGAGGTGGCTGTTGCAAGGTGCAGTCCTGCTGATCTGCCAGAGCTTGATTGCTTCTGGTGCAGCAGTCACACTGCCAGATACTGAACTCTCGCTCACACATAGTGCAGCGAGTGACAGCATGTATAGTTCCTGCATCTTCATCCAGGTATCAATCCTCCATCGGAGAGTGTTGCTTTGCTGAACCATCTTCCCTTCTTGATTATCTGTTGCGTGAACTCTGAGGCCAGCTCTGTTTGCTTTCATTTGCCGTCTATTGAAGTAAAAACAATGTCATAAAAGTAACAGTACACTCACTGTTGTTCCTCAAGTTCTAAGCCAGTACTGATTAATATGCTAGGGGTGCAATCCTCGTGTAGGGCAAGGCAAGTTCCTGTTTGAAGGTTGATCTCATCCTCCCTAGCCAGTTCTAGTCGTAGCAAAGCCATAGTGACAGCTGCAATGCGTCAAGATCAAAATGAGCACATAAGCATTACCATCATTGTCTCGTACTTACTTTCTGCCTTTCGTTTGAAAGGATTAGGCTGTGTAGGGTCGTACTCCCAAGCCTCCACTTGTTCTCTCCATTGTTTGAGGGTGGGACCATATTCACCTCGCAAACCATCATCAAGGTCCTCAAATGCTTCACAATGGTTCTCACGCTCTGGGAATGCATTCTTTATCTTGTGAAGCATAGCATGACCTGAAAAATCTAAGTTGCCATTTTTTTTCACAAAAATCAATGCACCAAGTCCAACAACCTTTTTCCAATTTGAGTCTACAAAGTAATCATCAAGGGTGTCTCATCGTGTGCCAGGCCCCATTTCTTTGGTGCTCGAAGCAACAGGGTTGATGTTGGCCCAGCCACGTTCTGGTGCTTCTCCGTCAGTCCTGCCTACCCCATTCTTGAAAATGATGTTTGGCACTGCTCAATATGAGCGGGAAGGTGGAACTTTGGCATGAAAAATGAGATTGTCTTGACGGCATGCGAGAGATGCATTGAAATTGGAAAGGCACTCATGTGGTGCCATAATTTTTTGTGCCACTGGCATGCGATATTATAGGATACATTGAGAGTGTTGAGTTCAGTATGACGTAGTGCTGAGAAAAACAAGTAGTTCATGTTAATATATCTACATGCATGTGTTAGATCGCCAACTGCTGGATGCAAAAGACAATTTACCTTTCACCCTTTTTGAAGATCCCCAATGGCGTTGGGCAGTTTCATGTTGTGGCAGGCACAGTCGACAGTACCTAAACCAGTGGTAGCGAGTCCATGGTCAGATTTCATATCGGCCATATTTACAGCATTGTGACTTGAACACGTTGATTTCTGCAAATCTAACTGTTAATATATGAAATAGAATAATTCAAACCACGAACCTCCTGGACGCTGTCCACACTGCTGTGCAAGAAATATTTATATGCTTTGTCCTTGACAAAATATCCCCAGCCACAACTTAGGCTCGGGTCAACACTGTCACTTGAAACAGCCTTGCGTTTTAAGCGGAAGTTTGCATCTATAGTGAGGAATAATCCATATAACCACCTAACAGTACTTATATCAGTAGAAATTCCCCTCTGGACTGGAGCTCACTCTAAACTTACTGTCGAGGAGCATCTTTTCAACCAGCTGGGAGATTCTTCCCTGGGTGTGGGCACGCCAGGCACAATACAGTACATTCACCCTCAACTGTCCCATCTACACCACTGGGATTGTGACCTCACCCCAAGCGCTTAAGCATCTTCAAGTGGTGCCACTCGCATATCATCTGTGTAAATGAATCATACCGATCCTGGAGGAAGCTGGATTAACTTTGAAGGTACCTAAAAATTAAGTTTACCTTGATGGGAAGTAAGCCAGTGTTATCGGACATCCAGCTGAGTGCATTATAAAATTTGAAGGCAGATACTTTTGACTCAAATGAGAGTAGGTGATAGTGTTCAAGAATGCGGAATGTCGCAGCGGTTTTTGGATCTGATGTTGTCGAAGGAAACCACAATATTTGAAGTAGCTGTTGTATATGGCTTTGGGCTGTTGTGCAATTGCAGAAGTCAAGAGATACTTCCTGTATGCCATGGGTGTCAACAACAATAAAATCATCATTGAACGCGTGACGAGGATTAAAACATATCTGGCCAGTGGTGTGGCCAAGCTGGATGCGAAGGCCCAGGGTTTTCAGAGAGATTTGCTTGAAGTATTGACCATTCCATTTCTGTATTGATAGTAGATATTAGCCTTACATCCTCATCTCCCAATCAGACATGAAAGCATACCTCCAATTGGTGAAGCAGGTGGCACACATGAGCCAACAGGATGCAAGGTGAACAATAGATCTCTGACCCTAAGCAGTCCTGACACCTGTACTCTGGGCTGGGACAATTACACTCTGAGCAAGATTGAGCAGCAAGTCTATTACATCTTCCTTCAAGATGGATCATTTCCTGCAGAAATAATTCTCAGTGCTTCAATCACATCAACAAAGGATGATCCTGAATAATGGTGAGCGACATATCAAAGGACTCAGAACATTATAGTGTACATACACCTGCTGTTCGTTTTCTCTTTTGCTGCCCTAAAAAGTCCAATGATACATCGAGTGGGAGATCATCGAATGGCTCAGGAATTGACAATGGTGCCACATCATGCAGAGTCAGTGCTGCGCGAGTTCAATTATTAGTGGTAAACATTGAGCTTGGGTTTCTTTTTCCATCTCTTCGGTACTCTGGACATTACTTCACAGTATATTGTCTGGATTGAAGATGTCCCTGCCTCAGAAGAGCCGACGGCATAAGTAGGATCTGTAGACATTCTTTGTTGGTTTCTGCACTGATTGTCATGGTGTCGAGCGAAGAGTATTCATCCATATTGACCTCACATTTACGGTTCAAGTCATTATCAGAAAAAAAATCAAGTGTTCATTTAGCAGAAAATGAACATGACAGACATGAATAAGTAGTCGAAGACTAACAAATGAGATTGATGCATGCAGATATAATGGGCAGAGCTGTGTGAACCAAATATGGTGCCACAAACAGACATGTTTAGGGCCGGAATGAAATTTTCACTAGTGATGATGTCCAAATAGCAATGATGCCTTAAAGCTGGCACTGAGATGTCAACCAATGCTACCAAATGAAGTATGGTATCGAACCTACTAGTGTGTCACCTGCTTGCTGCAAGCCTACGTCAGATGGCACAATGAACTTTCTGTTCTCCCAGGACAAGTGACTGAATGGTAAAGTATGTAGCAACACGATTGCCTGGTGTCCGGAGTTCAAATTTCATGCTATCCCTATGGCAAGTGTTACATATAACAGAGAGTTAATGAAAACGTGAAAACTCACCAGATGTATGATGGAAAAACTCCGATGTAGCGGCCCTGAGTAACGCAATAAAAAGGGGGTTCTAGATCGTGCTGTGAAGGCATATTATAGAATATTCCTTGATAAGAGTATAGAAAGCACTCTTCTGCCATAGCGTTTACGGCCTCCTCTAACTCTAAACTGCCCTCATGCACAGTCACAAACTCCTTTGGTTTGACCATGTAGGGCGTCATGGCAATATCGAGCCAAAGGGGATTGGTGGATCTTGCATTGAGAGATATCCTGGGAGTGGGTAAAATGAAAGACACTATGTTTTTTTGGGTATGTCCTCAGAAATTCCTCCATTAATAGTGAAAGACTCACTCTGCATCATGAACATCGACATGGTGGTAGTATTTCCGGTGCTTTCAATGTCGTATTTAACAGTCACTGGGTCGATACAAAGTTCTAGAGAAAATTGCCGGTGGTAGTTACAGTAGTTTTTGGTTTAGTCTTATGAACCGCTACCAATGATATAGCAGTACACTCACCCCGGACATTAACATTGATATCGAAATTTGCTTAGACCTAAACGGTGTTATTGGAAATCAATTTGCGGTGCTTGGAATCACTGGTACAATGTTTTCAGACAGTATGAGTCGCTGTATATAAAACTGATGCATCACTGATGCATCTCTATGATTAATACAATATATTGATATCAGGAGCAGTATGGTATAGTAGCTCATTGCGTGAAGTATATCCTGTAGGTCAATCATGACATGCATGAGCAGAACACAAGTGGTGGCCAGGATTCCTAGTACGAGGCAAAAATTTACTGGTTGAAATTGGGACTGCTCGGGTTCTTTGCGATGACACTAAAGATGTCGACCTAGTTGAAATTTGGATTGTTCGGGTTCTTTGTAATGACACCAAGAATGTTGACCAGCCGCTGGAGGACTTGTCGATAGACAGTGTGAGATTTTGACATACAGTGAAGATAATGTGCATTGTACCATTTCAACATCTGCAAGGTCCTGTTTGATGTAACAGTTAGATACAGTGGCTCAAAAAAACCGTCCGTATGTTTTGGCATTTTTCACTATCTATAATATTGTGTGAGAACAAACAAATGCCTCAAAAACATGCTTATACCACATTGTAGTATGGCTTCAGGGCTTTCATTTGAGCCCTACACCGTGGGAATCGGTGGAGATATGGTGGAGATACAAGGCTCACAAAATGGTGACTCATGCGGACAGTTTTTTGACTCAAGTATTTTACAGTAATAACCAGGTATTCTAGTATTTTGTATGACCTCCCTTGGCTTTAATTACTGCCTCTATCCTTCTAGGCATACTCTCAATTAATTTCTGGCAATCCTCAGCTGTGATCTTCCCCCATTCCACTGCTACTCTCTCCCAAAGCTCCCATACTCCTTTAGGGGGGTTTTCATAGGCTTGAAGCTTTTTCTTGAGTGTTCCCCAGAGATGTTCAATGACATTGACATCAGGAGACTGTGCTGGCCAGTCAAGAACATTGATGTTATGTTCTTCAAACCATTCCCTAGCTCTTCTGGATGTGTGCTTGGGATCATTATCCTGTTGGAAAATGATATCTTCTTCATCAATCCCTGATTCTGCCAAGCTAGGCAGCAAGTGGTCATTTAAAATGTCCACATACTGCTCAGCATTCATCTTCCCCTCAACCTCAGCAAGCATTCCCACACCATTCCATCCCATACAGCCCCATACCATTAAAGAACCTCCTCCAAACTTGACAGTCCCATTAACCTCTCTGTCTGTTAGGCCATCTCCCTTCTTTTTCCATACATACACCTTCCCATCTGACCCAATCCTATTGATTTTGGTCTCATCTGACCATATAACATGCTTCCAGTCCTCTACAGTCCAGTGTTGATGAGCTAAGGCAAAGGCTAGTCTTCTCTGCCTATGTTTGATGGAGAGAAGAGGCTTTTTCTTCTTTGTTACTGCCTTGAGATGAGCTGCCTTGAGAACATTCCTCACAGTTTGTGAAGAGACAGGGGTAGTGATGGTGGAATTGATATAATGGGTGGCTTGGACAGCATTATCAGCCTTTCCTGTAGTGATATGTTGGATAATAGCCCTTTTGTCAGTAGAGGTAAGCTTGGATGGACGTCCTCCACAAGAGTTTTCCTTGTCTGGGTGGCTTTCTTTGATGAACTTGGCCACAGTGGACTTGCATATTCCAGTTCTAGAGGAAATTTGGCGAGCAGAGAGGCCAGCATAAGACAGAGAGAGGATATTATCTCTTTGAGCAGAGGAGATGGCTTTCATGGTGATTATGACTATGATACATGAGACATTCTGGTTTATATAGTTAGATATAGTCATAAAATAACATAATGACACCACTTTATAATTTATATAATAGTGGCATGATTTTTATGGTGTCATAAATAATGATTTATATAGTTTTAATATACACTCAAAAAACTGTCCACATGAGTCATCATTTTATAAGCCTTATATCTCCACCATATCTCCGCCGATTCCCACGGTGTAGGGCTCAAATAAAAGCCCTGAAGCCATACTACAATGTGGTATAAGTATGTCCTTGAGGAATTTGTTCATTCTCACACAATATCATAGATAGTGAAAAATGTCAAAACATGCGGACAGTTTTTTGAGCCACTGTATAAAGTTGTCAAATTATCAGTAAAGTGCGACTCACCACTCATGCTGGTACTACCAATGTTTTTGTGAAAGTCTTCAACTGCTTTTGGGTGAGGGTATCAGCACTGACATTGGTCAGATGGTTTTGTAATGTTCATTATGGATTGAAACATACCAATGGTGCTCTTGATCATATTTTGGTTTGTTCTTCTTGCTGATGATGATGGCACAGTTACTGTGTCTTTTGGTACACATCAGTAGCTAGAACAGAGAGAGAAGTGTGCACTTTGCATTTGAATATCTCTTGTGGTAAGAACAAGCAGTGTCGAGTTGCCAGTCTTTCAAGTTTGGTGTGTGATGAAATTAAGGCTGAAGCGCTGACTGAGTATGGCTATGCCATTGTTACCCGCAATTGGCAAGCAAGAACTGATGCAAATCAGCCATTTGGTCTCATTATACATCAATCATATAGTACTAGTTAGATCAGCTCAGAGTATGTCTGCAGGGGTTCTACCTTGCACAATGATCTCGATAATAGCCAGATTAGTTATTGAACTGGTCATCTTTAGGCTCAAGTGCAACACATGATCATGTTCAAGTTGGAACTCAACTTGAACGTTGCAAACACTGCGAGTCAATAACTACTATCATGCACGCTATGGCACATTGCATTGGACTGGTTCCTGTATCCACTAACTTATAATGTCATCCAGGTGGGTCTCTAGTTGCTGGCCAATATGACACAAATATACTTACTGAAGTACTAGCCGCTGCAGCGCAATGCTTACAATTACCTTTGATTTCGATTCCAATGTTCAACCTTCTATATCAATGCCCAGGTGATTCTCTCCTTCAAGTTGCTCTCAATGCGATGTTCTGAATGAGAGTATAGTACATGTTCGTTTCTCAACACTCGAACGTTCAATTACCTTTCGGATTTTGATTCTGATGTTCAACCTTCCATATCAATGCCTAGGAAGTTGGAACTCAATGTTGCAAACACTCCGGGTCAATAACTACTATCATGCACGCTATTGCACATTGCATTGGACTGGTTCCTGTATCCATTAACTTCTAATGTCGTCCAGGTGGGTCTCTAGTTGCTGGCTAATATAAGACAAATGTACTTACTGAAGTACTAGCCGCAGCACAATGCTTACAATTACCCTTGATTTCAATTCCAATGTTCAACCTTCTATATCAATGCCCAGGTGATTCTCTCCTTGCTCTCGATGCAATGTTCTGAATATGAGAGTATAGTATATGTTTGTTGCTCAACATTCAAATGTTCCATTACCTTTCAGATTTCAATTTCCGATGTTCAACCTTCCATATCAATGCCTAGGTGATTCTCTGCTTGCTCTCAATGCGCTGTCCTAAACTTATCTGAATATGAGAGTATAGTATATGTTCATTGCTAAAGATTCAAATGTTCAATGTCCAATGTCCAGGTGATTCAGTGCTTGCTCTCAATTGTGCGGTGTTCTGAACTTATACATTCAATGTCCAGGTGATTCCCTGCTTGCTCTCAATTGTGCTATGTCCTGAACTCATACATTCAACATCCAATGTCCAGGTGATTCAGTGCTTGCTCTCAATTGTGCGGTGTCCTGAACTTATACATTCAATGTCCAGGTGATTCCCTGCTTGCTCTCAATTGTGCTATGTCCTGAACTCATACATTCAACATCCAATGTCCAGGTGATTTCCCACTTGCTCTCAATTGTGCGATGTTCTGGACTTATCCTATTATGAGAATGCAGTATATGTTCATTCGAACATCGTCTAGGTGATTCTCTGCTTGCTCTCAATGTGAGGTGAACTTATCAATTTACCGCTTGCTCTCAATTGTGCGATATTCTGAACTTATACATTCAACATTCAATGTCCAGGTAATTCCCACTTGCTCTCAATGCGATGTTGTGAACTTATCTAATTATGAGAGTTGTCATATACCATATATCCGGTTACAGATCCGATGATCTGGATCTCAGATCCGATCCAGATCCGATGAACATATCCGTCGTCCGGTCCACAGATCCGCTTTGATTCTTATTTCATTTCCTGTTCATATAACTCTAACTATCGTTCATCTCCTTTCGGTATTCCTGTACACCGGTATACCAGTTATCCTTTACTTCCGCTATGCTTACTGATCCGCTACACTTACGAATCCGCTTTTACTTGTACTTCATTCCCGGTTCATGATTCGTGATCCATCCAACTTACCAATACGCTCCACTTAGACTTTGCTTATACTTTCGTACATAGCCCCGCACCTTTGCTTATTGATCATTCCGTTAGCTATCCGTAGTATATAAACCTTTGTATATGCGCTGTAGTAGATCAGTTCGAATATCATCTTAGATTGCACTCATTCCGTCTGGACTCTGAGTCCCTCCGTTATCCATCCGGACTTGAGTACACTACTCTTGTCTACTCCGAGACTTAGGATAGATTCCTATAGTCTACATATCCGCCTCTGTCTTCGGACAGTCCTCACCCGTTAGTTTCTAGTCCGGATCCGATCCGGATTGGCCGTTACTCTATACACGCGATACTTTAGCTCTCTGAAATAAGGGGCAAGACTCGGGAAAGGGGCACAGCGCACGAGCTGAGGCCGAAGCCCTTCGGATCCGATACTACTTGAGTACGGTCTTAACAAGAGTACAGTATGCCATGCCGTTCATTTAAACCATCATCAGTCATGGAATGAAAAGTTGCCTTGTAATCGGTTCATGTAGTAAGTTTGTTAAATTAGCTTCCTTTTTTCAATGGGCGATGTTGATCTGTTGTTTTGGCAATGAGCCATATAAAGATGGACATAGACGTTGTGAAGAGACACACTCGTCTATCATCGTGCGAAGCAAAAAAAAAAAGGTATGACAGCTCCACTATTAGCATGGCGCATGACTGAAAATTCTATGGCGGATACCAACCAGCTAAGTGGACTACTATGGAACAGTACCTATAGCTCCAAGAATGGTTCCCGGAGTATACTGCACTCCACAATGGGGACAAGGAATACATGCTCTTCTGGCTCAAGATTTATCTTCATTGGTTTAGGAGATGGCCTGAGCGAGCTATTCTCTTCCCGGGTATCCCTACTAAAACAATATTAAAAAAGGAGCAACAAACCACAGAAATTCATGCCAAGGATTCACATAAAGTTGTAAGTTGTCAAATGTGTTGACAATTTTTGACTGCTAATGCAAAACCCTGGTAGCAATTACAGACCTGGTTTTGTTGGTGGACAAATGCATCCAAGAAAAATCGCAGCTTAAAGAAGGATATGTCCATCTTTGAAGCTGCACTGGTACTGAAGTCGCATACAAAATCCACTGAAGAGATATACATGGACATGGTCTATAATGAATGGATCAAACCTCTCATCAAGGCCAAACAAGAGGCAGGTAACATAAGTACAGCTGGCCAGCGCATGGCATTGGGCCAAAAGTTTTGCAAGGAGCTCCTGGAAGACAAGTCAGACCAGGTTAAGGATGAAGTGAGAGAGAAGTATGATAAACAGAAAAAGGTAAAGAGGGTCATATTAGACAATGAAGATGACAATGATGAAACTGATGCTGATGCCATCGCAAAGTAAGTACTGGCTTATGTTTGTGATTTTGGTGTACTCACACGACCTATAGAGCTATCAATGATTTACCAATCATATGCCAGCGCTTTGCATATCTCATCAAGAAAAACTCAATTCATAGTCTCCTTCATGTGTGCTGGACCAGAGCCGAGGCATGATTGGGACATTGTTTCATTATCGTAAGCGCACCAAACTAGAAACATGACTAATGAACTCACACTACTAAGGTGCCATCCATCAGAAACCCCCGCTGGGAGTAATTTTTCTCAATTGTGCCCTGACAAGGACAACACCTTCCTTGCGGCATACCAGCAATACGCTGAGTTGATATTCTGTAAGCCAATCTTTACTGTCCAAATCACTGTAGACTCACCCTGATACTCATCCATCAGCTGTGAACAAGTGTAACCCACTACTGCCAGGTGTTGAAGATGACAATGAGCTTGAAGAGCTTGAAGGATGCGACAATGGTGAAGAGGATGGAGGATGTGATGGTTCCATGGATTGGAATATTCCAGGTCTTTATATTGTTTTGTGCCCGCCTGATGTCATTCTGGTGCTGGTCTTCCTAAGTCTAAGCACAAGCGCAAGTCGAAGCTCCCAGCTGCCGAAGTCAATTGCAATCCTGCTATAGAACCCACCCCCACCATCACGCCCATGAACATGGCCAAACCCAAGGCTAAACCCAAAGCAAAACCTCTCACCAAGTCTGGTGCAGTAATGGAGACATTGCATGCTACTGCTGATGAAGGCAATATGTTGGGTCATTTGACTGCCTCCCAACTTGACTATGAGCAGCATGATTCCTGCAAAGTACATCCAAGACATCTTAGTATATTCTCACTTTCTTAATGCTAATGGACATAGGAAAAGGCAAACGAAGGCATGAGTCCATGTCTTCATGTCATGATCACAAATTTGCTTCTTGTACCATAGTAATGTTTGATGCTGTTAGTAACACATGTAGTCTCTGTTTTTCTCATGATGAATACAGTTGTGTTGTCAAATTAATCCCCTTAATAAGTGGTATATCGAGTGCGCTTGTACAGGCAGGCAGCACAGAATTGAATTGAAAATGACATCAGTCATGTGGGTCTGATAGTATCTTGTTTCAGTTGTTTGGAGTAAGGTTTGCCGGAGGTAGAATACAGCTAACTGACTGAAATTTATGAGATACAAGGTGTACATACTACAGTCAATCTCCAAAGTTCGAGAGTGTAAACTAGTACATCATATGATGTTGGTTCCAGTCTGTGCGCTCACAAGAAATAGTTGGGACAGACATTGCTGCTTCAGCTGTGTACATCATGGTGGGGTAAACACTATGGTAGAATATCAGTTCATGCAGCCTGAGACTACCACTTACTTATAGTGTGCTGAGAATAACATAAGGTCGGGTAAACATTGAAGTGCCTCAAGACACTTTGAGAATGTGCAATTGATATGGGGTTCGAACTTTGGAGTGTCACAGACCTGTGCTTGAAAGCGACTGTGCTGAATGATGTCTAGCTCGCATATGAAGGAGAAGTCAAGAAAGGATGCAGTGGTAAGTTCAGCATATAGCCATGGGCCTGCTACAAGAAGGGTCCGTGCACAGCATATGGCAGCGAGCAGGTGGCAGTAGCAGGATGTGGACCCATATCGACCATGTACAACCGTATGACGCTTCCCTTTTTTGACAGTTTGATGGATACTGATGGTGGGGCTGCAAGAAGGATCTGTGTGGAGTGTTTGGAGGTGACCAGGTGGTGGCGGGATGTGGACCCATACTGGGAGGTATTGTTGATCATGTACAAGTGTGGGATGCTTCCCTTTTTTGAGAATGTTGATTTGATGCATTAAGTACTGATCACCTGTGTGTCACCATTAATACTACTGATTAGTAATGTTGATGCAATAGGATCTTCCTTACTAAGTAGTAGGGTTTACTTCTGCTGCAGCACTCAGCACTTCTCTTTGTAAAATAAAATATCTCCGGTAAATAGTGTCTTAAAACATATGTGATATAATCCGCCTATTTCCGAGTGGCCGAATTACCGAGAATTACCAGTGGCCGCTATTTGCCGACTAATGCCCCGCCACCTCACAATCATTTCCCACGTTGTCTCAACCACCTTGCTCATCACCACATACAATGAGCTCTATCAATGTGCTCAAATCTTACTCGTTTTTCTTGGTTCTTTCGCACATTGACTTTGATAAGGTATGTCATCCATTATTTCTTTGAATTAGGTCTAAAACATACACAATAGTTAACTGGTAAGTCTTGCCGCTGCCCGCTTATTAATCTTCTAGCTAGAGTGCTTACTGTCAGCGCCTTCCCTCCCAGTCCACTCTCCCACCTCGCCAGCCAGCAACATGCGCCATTCCAAGTGCATGTTGACCTCTTCGTGGATGAAGATGTCAGTCCTCAATTCATCTCACTCGCTTCATACCACTACGGCTTCACCAAGTCAAATATGGTGCAAAAGGCTGGAGGACAAGGGCAGGCGGGCAGACAATACAATGAGGAGAGGAACAGAGGTGGTCAATATAAACTCAAGGTGAGTAGTGTTGTACATTGCCCTCTTTGCCATGCTTATGATACAACACTGCTGTGCGCCCATCACTAGAGTTGTACTTGAGACAGCACACAAATAGTAGTATTGCATTGCGACGAGTGAAGAGAAGACAGCGATAAGCTCCCTTTATTTAAACATTCTAGTCCGAATCTGATGAGCTACTATCGGAGTTGTCATCCTCATCCTCAGTGTCTATGTCTATGGTAGCATGGCTCATTTTGGCTCTCTTCTGCTTCCTCATCACATACACTAGTTCACCCCTGGCATGGCACTCTCAGTTGAGCTGCATCCGCGCTTTACGATCATCATCAGGCAGAGTGACCCAATGGCATGTCCCCTTGTCTAAGGCTCCCCATAACTTTTCAACCTCATTCCTGCCACCTACTTTACTTGGGTTGTGCACTGGACCAGAGAGAGGCCAATTCACCAGCTCGACACCATGGTGCTCGACAATTTTGCATTCATAGTTAGTATAGTTCATTTTAACTGAGCATTTGATATTTTTCTTGAGCATAATAGACTCTGTTTGAGTATCAGCATAATGTGTGTGACCAAGCGAAAATAAATTAATACTTAGCGCATCCTGAATAAAGGTACGGCATTCACTGATGATTTTATTTAATGGGCACTGGTGGTTAGGTGTGACACCTTCATCTGCAACAAGAGTATTCACATTTTAATACATTAATAAGAGAAGGAAGGAACTAACCCAAGCCGCTGATAACATAGGACTCTAGTTTGAGTCCAAGGTGCCATGGTTCCATGTGGAGAATGTCCTTAATAACTTTTCTGCCTTCTGAGTGAAAAAAACCTTGGGCTCTGAGAGGTCTTCGATCTCCCCGTGCACTACAATATAAAAACCCTCCGTGCCAGTTCAAGCGCAGAGTGCCATCCACTGAGACAATGATCAGCCGAGTCAATATAATAAATGAAAACAAATACTACATACTTCATGATCCATTGAGGCCAATGAAGCATTAATGTCATGTCGAACTGCCTTTGGGTTGGCCCGAGCAGTCCATTGCTTCTTTTCACGTGCCTCAAGAATCTGTCCTTTGTAGACTTGTTTCTGTGCAAAGGTGAGCTTGGAGTAAGTACGGTCAAGCTCTGTCTTATTCTGAGCAATGAACTCTGTGAGCTTGAAACACTCGCCCTTTTTGCAATCTGCATGAAAGTAAGTCCATTGATATAGCCAACACACTGAGACAAAGACATACCTTCATTGGCCTCCTTGAGTTGTGCTCGTACAAAGCCATTCCATAAATTGACACCCTGTCGCTGCTGAAGCAAGCAGCTCTTCAAGAATAGCTGGCTTCGAGTCCATTTTAGTGAACTAGGCCCATATATGAAGTCAGCAATAAATCAGTTCTCCAATACATTGACCTTACCATCCGTGTGTTTCTGTGATATGGATGGCCTCCTGCGCATACCCAGACTTCATGGAATCAAGGGCAGTGGTCAAAGCTGCCAGTCGAGCCTGACGTTCTGCTTTTGAGCCACTGACAACCTCGCCTGTGAACGTTGAACCTTTCCCAGGTGAGCCATGTGTAGTATACAATGAGAATAAAAGCATCGAGATCAACTTACTTTATATTGTGTTGCATAAATCCAGAGTTAGAAAGAACTTCCAGTAACCAGAGGTCAAGATGAAATCAAATTTTCATAGCTAAACCGAACCTAAAATATGACATTCGAGTACATTGCAACTTGATTCACACCGTAGCTATATCAAACAAATTGCTCGGGTACACTATACTAAGAAATTAACCTGGGCCCACAAATAACCGAGGTGAAACTTACAAAGATAATGATTACTTGCATTGGCCATCACAGCGAGGATTGATGCCATGCGGTCCTCTGGAATGTCCAGTTTCACAAGAATAGCTTGCCATGCAAAGGGTTCGTATCCACTCTTTTGTTCAATGCACCTCCAAATCTCACCCATTGTCATGGGAGGAACTTTCAAGTCCTTAAGACAGGCGTGAATACTTGCTGAGACCCGATTAGCCTGTGCATCTGACGGGCCCTCCATCAAATGGGGATCAGCGGTGAGATAAATATGATTAGTGATTGAGATCCCTTGGTCATTTCCTTGCGTAATGTGCACGAGATTTGGAGCCTGAACTTTAGCACCAGTAGTCTGATTTCATTTATCTATCAGTTCCATAACCAAAAATGTGTATATTGACTCACAGGCTCGTGCAATGTCTCATCCCTCTTAGATCTATGGCGCTGGGTAGCCTTCGCATTAGCACCAGTCTTCTTCTGAGGCTATTTTATCTGAATCAGTTTGACTGCGTAATGTAGTATATTTTCTCACAGGATTGTGCTGGGGCTTGTCTGAGTTGGAACTGCATTGCTGAACAGGTGCTCCTCGTGATTTTAATGAAGGTGACAAAGGTGCGATGACGAAAGGAGGAGGGCGTGAAGGTTGTAATGCGGCTTCTGACTCGTGTTCCCTCACTGTACTAGTGGGAATCTTCACGATCTTTTTCTTCGGAGATGAAGAAGCGAGGATGAAAGGACATGATGGTGGTAGTGCGGCTTCCAAGATATGTCCCTTCTCACCAATACCAGTCTTCTGAGGCTGTTTTATCCATGAGTATAATAATGCGAAAGGTGTAGTGTTACTCACAGGATTATGCAAAGACTTTTCCAAGTTAGAGCCATGTTTCTGAGCTACTCTGTCTGGTTTTAATAGAGGCAAGCAAGGTGCAATGGAGAAAGGTGGTGGGCGTGATGGTGGTAGTATGTCAACCAAATTATGTTCCTTTGCAGGCGCTCTTCTCAGTGTCAATGGCGAACTTAGAAGGTATGGTAGTTCGTAGTTGTTGTTGCTGTTGCCATTCTTGCTGTTGTTGCCATTGTTGTTGTTGTTGTAGTTGTCATCATCAGAATCAGAATCAGAAAGTGAATGTAGGGATGATTTGGTTGTAGTAGACAACATGGAAAGGCACGCAGATGAAAGACATTCTGAAATGAGTGAATCCTTGTAAGTATATGTCATGAAAAGATGCGCAGATGAAAGACCTTCAGAAATGAGCAAATCTCTGCAGTCACTTTTGGTTGATACTTGATGAGAGTTCAGAGGATCTGGGAAGAAATATGACAAGGCATTCATTGATTGATTTGGAGTCTTGCACTCAAGCTCGTCCAAAGCAGCAAGCTGTTAAGACTGTACTCAAGTAGTATCGGATCCGAAGGGCTTCGGCCTCAGCTCGTGTGCTGTGCCCCTTTCCTGAGTCTTGCCCCTTATTTCAGAGTACTAGAGTATCATGTATATTGAGACAGATAAGTCTCATAACAGATCTGTTAAGGCTTCCATATATTGAACATATATAGTAACGGCTAATCCGGATCGGATCCGAACTAGAAACTAACGGGCGAGGACTGTCCGAAGACAGAGACGAATATATAAACTATAGGAATCAATCCTAAGTCTTGGAGTAGACAAGAGTATCGTACTCAAGTCCGGACGGATATCGGATGGACTTAGAGTCCAGACAGAATGAGTGCAGTCTAAGATGATATTCGAACTGATCTACTACAGCGCATGTACAAGGGTTTATATACTACGGATAACTAACAGAATGATCAATAAGCAAGGACGCGAGGCTATGTACGAAGTATAAGCAAAGTATGTGTACAGCATATTGGTAAGTTGGATGGATAACGAATCATAACCGGGAATGAAGTCTAAGCTAAAGCGGATCAGTAAGTGTAGCGGATCAGTAAGCATAACGGAAGTAAAGGATAACCGGTATACCGGTGTACAGGAATGCTGAAAGGAGATGAACGATAGTTAGAGTTATATGAACAGGACATGAAACAAGGATTAGATCGGATCTGTGGACCGGACAATGGATATGTCCATCAGATCTGGATTGGATCTGAGATCTGGATCTTTTGATCTGTACCCGGTGTAGAGATTCACATTTCTCCAGGCTCATATGGGCCAAATTCACGGCTTTTCACGACGCACTCGATATCCTTACAACGCGCTTCTAATATGACTTCCGCGCAACGCGCACTTTGGCGCGTACCAGCACGTTCAAGTGCGTTCGAGCGCGTTACGGTGCACTTCGTCGCATTTCCTTAGGATCCGTCGCCTGTCCTCCGCATGTCCCATCCTAGTCCTCCAAGGTCCATTGGTGCGTTTTCCCTTCTTCAGAACTCATACTCCGTCACGCAGGCACTAGTACTTATCATCATATCTCGTTAGGGACCCTGACTTACCTCACCATTTACCTTAGTTCTTCCTATTCGGCTCCGAGCCGTGGGAACTCGCTTAGCATACCTACACGTCACCATGTTTGTTTTCCTGTCACTTACTTCCGCTCCACTACCATAAAAGTGTAAAGCTCGAGTTTCTATCTGAATACACCGGTTTTCCTTCCTATTGGCGCTTTGACACCTTTAAGTGTCTATTTCTACATCTATCAAAGTCCTGATTCCCCATTTGATTGTCATCTCTACTCAAAGCACTCCATTGTGATCGCACGAAGTGCGCTTTGACATTGAAGCGCGCTTTCCGCACTTTCCGCCTTATTAACGCATTTAGGCGCCTTTAGCTAGCGCACTTCGCTTTTGGGTGCATTATTTGCCTCAGAGTCCCATTCAGACTTCGAGACCGAACCACTGGTTATAGGTCCCCCTCACCTTTCACTAGAGGAATCTTTCTCAGTAGCAATCCCGTTGGGACGACTTTCCACTTGTATCCAGAGGAGCACTTGAGAGCCCACTTCCCACTCTTCCCCCTAGCACGCAGCTATCATTCCTCGCCCTCACCAGGAATATGGTATATGACACAAGCCCTGCAATAATCCAAGCTATCATGAAAGAAAGCTCAAGAAATTTTTAAAACTTACTCTGGAGCATGTCCTCAGGTAGCTCAACAGTTTCCCAGCTGAACCAGTGCCGGCAAACCTCAGGTGCGATTGTACTGGATAATAGGGTATGGATCCTGTCAAGCATGGGCTTCTCTTTGCGCCTCTCAATGAGTTCACATGCACGGAGCGACGTCTGTATGACAGGAAACAGACAGAAGTAACCTTGATGCTTCTCAAACAAAAACTCGGCGCTGAGCTTGATCTTGAACTGCGATTTCTATGATCGTGGCGGCCAGATTATAACCATTAAGTCAAAATTCAGAATGAAAGTGATACTAACAAGTGCTCCATGTAGGTCAAGATAATTTAGATGGTCTAGTCCCTCGGGAAGCTGGAAGGCCATGGTAGTATGTAAGGAAAAGTTGAATGTGGTGAAAAGCGGCACAGTAATTATATAGTGCTACAAACTTACGACACAAGTGTTATTAAAACTGTGCTCCTTCAATGATCTGTTAGTAGATATGCACAGTCTTGGACAATCTTCATCATACAAAACACCTGTACTAAGATGAAAGGAAGCAAGAAAGTACATTATGGTTAGAGATCATGATACGTGGTGATGAACATTCATTCAGTTGAATCTATTCTATCAGTAGTGCTTTGACTCACGTAGTATTTCTGCATCTGGTCGATCAGCTCAAATGGAAGTTCAACCCCTAGTAGGTGCAACTTGAACTTCATAACTGACCAACACATTGATACTAGGCCTCAACCCTCATCATGCAACTACTACCACGACTCGACTCTCATCATGCAACTACTACTAGGCCTCAACTCTCATCATGCAACTACTACTCAGCCTCGACCCTCATCATGCAACTACTTACTAGGGCTCGACCCTCATCATGCAACTACTACGACGACAACTTGACTTTCATCATGCAACTACTACTACCACCATGGATCAACTCTCATCATGCAACTACTACTACCACCACGGATCAACTCTCATCATGCAACTACTACTACCACCACGGATCAACTCTCATCATGCAACTACTACTACTACTACTACTACTACTACTACTACTACCACCACAGATCAACTCTCATCATGCAATTATAATGTCTCATTTTCATATGTTCCTTTATTATCCATGGCATAGTTTCCCTCTTGTGTGTTCATCAGATCAAGATATATTGAGATTGTATCTAGTGTAGTACTTTATTATTGAATGCAACTAATTGTATCTTCAAAGTGTGAAGCTTCGTCACCCAGCTCATCATTCTCTTTGAGGTCTCCACTCCCTTCATCATCTTGACCCTCCTCAGTGACATCATATTGTGTAACCAGGATTGGGCTGCTGTAGCCTTTGAGTTGGCGAATCTTGTGTAAGCAACAGCGGTGGACGTTGTTGATGCAATGGCGGACTGAGTATTGCTTCCTCAACTCGGCAGCAAGCAGAGAGGATGGATCATCAGTAACCAACATCTCAATGACTTCAAGCATCTTTTTGTCATCATACTCAACCCAAGCATCAAGACGGCCTATCTCCACATTCAAACGGGTGATTTCCTAACGAGACCGGACAAGTTTAAAGTATTTGGCGCTCATCTCCCGAGTTTCAGGCACTGCCCATGGTTTTGCAAGAAAATTGTGATGAGAATATTTCAGAAGGGTAAATTCGCTGAGAGTGGCATATCCGACAACTTCTGCGTAGTCGAGGATAGGTCGAGGAGGTATTTGAAGTGGTGCCAATTTGTTGTACTTCTCAAGCACATTATGAATGGTAGCAGAGCAGCAAGTGATAGCTTTTGAGATATATTTACGCATTTTGTAACCTTGTAGTGAGTTAGCGTGATTCAGACAATAAAAAATATAATCAAACCTATCCCTGCAAGATTAGCTTTAGATAACTCAAACAAGCACTGGATGACTAAACCCTCCAGTTCCTCAACAATCTGAACAAACTGGCGCTCACGTGAGTATTCCAGTGCCGGAGTATACTCATGGTGCATAGGCGTCCAACATTCAGTGATGTCATGCCTTCATTCAAAATCCTCAATAATATTCATTTGTAGTTGATACCGTTGTGACAATCATATTGGCGCTAGGCATGTATACCTGCATAAGCCTTCAATAGGTGGACCAAAGTTATCCCTCATATTATTCACTACTCCCCTATCAGCAGTCTTCACTTGTCTCAGCCATAACCCTTGTCCGACGCTATTCCACACTTTCCTGCACTATGTGCGCACATTCCCGCAGCGCTATTCATACTCCCGCGACTTATCCGACGCTATTCCCGCGCTTATAGCACTATCAGAACTACCAGCAATGAGTCTATAGGAGCATTAGCGCTCGTCCGCTCTATCTACTGCTTGTCCGCTCTATCTAGCGCTCGTTCCCGCGCCTAGCGCTTGTCTAGCGCGCTGTTCTCGCGCCCTAGGATCCACCCGAAATGTCAGAATCCATCCATTGTCCATCCTACCTCATTGGTATGTAATTTGCCTTGCCTCGAGTTTGTAACAAGTGCTACAGTCTTATTACATGTATATCCTATCCCTTCCAGGTCTGGGATGGTATAGCTTACTAGTATAAGAAGCCTATGGTGACTACTTCAACATTACTTCCCTTCGACTGTATTTCCTTCACCTTAGGTTTTACTTAGAAGTAGTCACCTTTAGCTGCACTCTATGGCCCCTATTGGTTTACCTTGACTTTCCTTTACCCTTGCAATCAATACCTTGATCTCACTCACTATCCATTACCCTCCCTTGACTCAGTGTCCGCTTTCTTGACTTCCGCACTTTCCTGCACATTAGCACTCTATCTTGCGACGCATTAGCGCTCCACTACCGACGCATTAGCAACCCAATAGCAACCCAATAGTGACCATCTACTGACCCGTACTTCCGCTTTTCTCACGCCATAGCGCTCTATAGTTGCGACATACTTTCCCGCGCACTAGCACTGTATCTTGCGATGCGCTTTCCTGCGCTATAGCGCACTTTCAGGTCTTTCTATCTTAAGTTGTCCTTTGTAGCTTTTCCCTTGGGTCAAATGTTCTTGCTTTATTGTTTGCAAGTATAGCAGCATAGGCAGAGCTTAGACATATACTGGCTAAGTACCTTTACAAGTGCCTAGTCAGGTTGTGTTATTCACACTGTCGTAATGCAGATAGACACTGGGCTTCAACAGCTCTTGATTTCTGGTGAGTGCTAGCATTCAGGCCAGATGATGGGGTAAAACTTGCAGGGGTGTATGTGAGATAAGGGACCAAGGTCATGCTGCCATACGTTGACCTATATTTTGGGGTCAATTGACAAGATTGAGCAATGGAAATCACTCACTCCGCAACATGAAGCTTCTCGAGTTCTTCAACGTATGCTGCCACAATCGCATCAGACAGCGGTTCTTCGGCTAGATTACTGAGAAAGTCAGATTCTTCTTGTTGCCATCAGATGAAGTCGTCCTTAGTTATCAACTTTCAGTGAGGGTGAGGAATGATAGCTGAATGCTAAGGGGGAAGAGTGGGAAGTGGGCTCTCAAGTACTCCTCTGGATACGAGCGAAAAGTCATCCCAAGGGGATTTCTACTGAGAAAGATTCCTCTAGAAAAGATGAGGGGGATCTATAACTGGCAGTTCTGTCTAGAGACCTGAGTGGGACACTGATGCAAATAATGCACCCAAAAGCGAAAGTGCACAGATGAAAGGCACCTAAACGTGCTGATAAGGCGAAAGTGCAGAAAAGTGTGTTCTAATGTCAAAGCGCATTTCACGCGATCTCAACAGAGTGCTCAAGTCGAGGTGGCAATCAAATAGAGAACCAAGAGGAAAGATGGACGTGGCAATAAGTGCTTAAGGATGTCAAAGTGCCAAATGGAGGGAAAACTCATGGATTTTGATGGTCACTAGTGCTATACACTTAGATGGTAGTGGAACGGAAGTAAGTAACAGAAAAATGAACCTGCTGACATGTAAGTATGCTAAGCGAGTTCCCAGGTCTCGGAACCGAGTAGGGAGCACTAAGGTATGTGATGAGGTACTGTAAGTCAGGGTCCATAACGAAACATAGTGTAGGTACAAGTGCCTGTGTGACGGTATATGAGTTCTAGTGAAGAGAGCACGCACCAATGGACCTTGGAGGACTAGGACAGGACATGCGGAGGACAGGCGATGGATCCTAGGGAAGTGTGACGAAGTGCGATGTAACACGCTCAAATGCACTGGTACGCGCCAAAGCGCATATGCGCGTAATCAGGAAAGCGCAAATGAGCGATAGCAAGGGTCTGTCGACGCAAGAAGGCGAAGTGCTATAAAGGCGACTGCATAGGATGTGGAACACAAAAGGTGAAATGCGACTGTACCAAACACGAAAAACGCGACAATGTGAAACACGACAAACGCAACAAAACGCGAAATGCGACAAGTCGAATGCACTAAGGCAAAATGCGACAGAAGCACATTAATATTATGGATGCGTGACTGCAGGAATGTGGATGCGCGAAACACGAAAGTGTCTATGTGTGGAAACGCACCAAATGCGAAATGCGAAACGCGCTAAACGCAAAATGTGAAAGCATGTATGTCGTGTTTGGGGTGCATTGCAAAAATAGTGAGCGCATCATGAAGGGAAAGTGGACTGTACCCATATGCACCTGTGGAAACTCCAGTCTCTACATCAGGTCATGAATTCATCTAATAATCGAGTATGTTCCTCAATGATACCGAGTGCTTGCACATAATTCTCATGCAAGAAGCGGCCTACGTAAGTTTAATTAGAGGTGTACGATATCCTAGATTACATCAAACACTTACTTAACTCAGTGTACTTGTCTTGGTCCCACTGGTTGAAATGAAGGTCTATAAATTGCATCCAATGAAAGTGTGATGAGTGACAAACTGCGGCGCCATTAGAACTGGAGAAAATATGTTCACATGTTTCCAGGTCTTCGTTACCGAAGCCTTGGAGGTAAAGGGGATGATGGTGCAGCTGGCACCGGCGATTGTGCACATACCCATGAAAAGCATTGACTGCGACAATGAGATTCAGTTTGGTGGCAAGATTGCCAATGGAACTAGCAGCAATAGTTTTGTGCAATGAGCAGCCAATATCATGGCCAAGTCCTTGGTCTTGACCACAAACTTCAAGCAGCCAGTTCACAATGGCAAGTCCATACTTCACACTAGAAAAGAATAAAGTCAAATGTATATATTTAAAAGAAAGATGTACAGTTCACCGCTACGCTTCATCTCTGCAATACATTCCACGAAGCCATGCTGACATGCTAAGATGAATATTCCAGTCTGCTTGAAGACGGAGATCTTGTCCTCCTCCACAGACTTGGCGGCAGTCCACTTTTTGGTACAGGTAATATTCCCCCTCATCGAACGTTTGCCCGGCCGGTTACGGACATCATCACAAAACTGCTCAACTGTGGAGACAGGTATGAAATAGCGACTGTGAAATAAGCGTTAATCAGCGGACCCCAAACCATCCAGATGTTTGGCTGAGTGGTTGCTATTCATGCTGTGAAGTCTGCGTGGAATGAGTGGTGGTTCATTGGGTTGCTGCAGGAACATGATGTTAGACTCAAATATGCGAATTTGATCATTAGACATACTTCAAATGCACAACTCAGGCAAGAACCTTTGAGATGCCAGTCAGTGCCATCTCGGTTGAGCGCACGGTCCATCAATCGCCAGACCTCATGTTTGACTTGAAGGTAGATATCAAATGCTATTGTAAACTGCTCCCGCAAGTGGCGAGAATAAGTTACCTAAACCTTGAGTTATACATATTAATGATCAATAAACAAAACAAAAAAATGTACATTGTGAAGGGTACAAAGAACTTTAGTAATAGATTGAACGCTAAACGAAGATTGTCGCTGACAAATTTGATGGTAGAGTTCGAGACAGTGGAGATGAATAGCTACAGTGGGTTGCACTGGAGAGCAGCCGAGTAACCCACACTGCAGTAGCACCACATTGGCAGGTTCCCCAGGTCGTTGTAGAATATCTATGTTAGCGGTGAAGTCTATCACATTGCTGGCAGTGTTAGTGTGTACTACACGTGAAAAAGTAAAACATACCCATAACACCAACAGCAGCTACACCAAACGAATGGCCCTCTTGGTCACTGCTGGTCTCAGTCATGTTGTGTGCCCACCACATGTAAGCTTCAATGAGAAGGGGGATTTGCTCAGACCATGCAGCGTGGGCATGTTGATAGCGCTGCATTCATGTCCGCAAATCTTGGTGTTGATGACTTGTCACACCACTGTACTAGTTGTTGAGTGGATTTTGCAAAAGAAATAAGTAGCTCACCGTTGTTGCACACACATCCAGAAACATTCTGAAAATAGTGGGCCACTAGAAACTTCATGTAGGTGATCTTCTTCTTGCTGCCCAAGATCCTCATATTCAAGGGCAGTGTTATCATACTGCATGGAATCATCATGGTCTCGCCCTGATTCAAGTTGAGCGTCAGCCATAAGGGCACGAAAGTGTTGTGTTTCTAAAGTGTGGTAAGTATGACAATGAAAGGCAACTATAGTGCTACTCACGTCACATGTGTTCTGCTCGCCTGCCCTCATCCTCCAGCCTTTTGTGCTGTATTTGACTTAGTGAAGCCATAGTGGTATGAAGCGAGTTAGATGAATTGAGGACTGACATCTTCACCTGCAAAGAGGTCGACATGCGCTTGGAATGGTGCACGTTGCTGGCTGGTGAGGTGGGAGAGTGGACTGGGAGGGGAGGCACTGACAGTAAGCACTCTAGCTAGAAGATTAATAAGCGGGCAGTGGCAAGACTTACCAGTTAACTATTGTGTATGTTTTAGACCTAATTCAAAGAAATAATGGATGACATACCTTATCGAAGTCAATGCGCGAAAGAACCAAGAAAAACGAGTAAGATTTGAGCACGTTGATAGAGCTCGTCGTATGTGACGATGAGCAAGGTGGTTGAGACGACGTGGGAAATGATTGTGAGGTGGCGGGGCATTAGTCGGCAAATAGCGGCCACCGGTAATTCTCGGTAATTCGGCCACTCGGAAATAGGCGGATTATATCACATATGTTTTAAGACACTATTTACCGGAGGTATTTTATTTTACAAAGGGAAGTGCTGAGTGCTGCGAGAAGTACTGAAGTGCTGCAGCAGAAGTAAACCCTACTACTTAGTAAGGAAGATCCTATCGCATCAACGTTACTAATCAGTAGTATTAATGGTGACACACAGGTGGTACTGATGCATTACTGATGCATTACTACTGATGCCTGGAATGCATCAGTAATGCATCACTATTGCTTTGCTCCCCACTGTAGCGTTGATGCATCACTGCAGCGCTGCAACTGCAGCAAATTGTTGCATCAAAATGACACGGACGCCTGGCGCTCGGCTTGTTCTCAACTTCTCGTTGACTCCGAACACCGCGCTCAAAAACCCTCCCAGATCGCGCCTACGGCCGCGGTCTGGCAAAGCCAGACATTCCCCAGCCTTCGTAGTCAAAACCCACATCTCTCTCGACATCGTCTTCAGTACACAAATGTTCCGTCTGCGACCCATTTCCGAAGCTCACCGTTCATCCAACAGACTATTACTTCCCTTCTCTTATCTCCATTCATTCGCAAGTGCGCTCTCACAATCGATTAGTCGAATTCCCCCGTCCCAAGACTAATCACTATTCACTCAGTCATATACAGTGCAGCGTCAATACAAAGCCGGCATATCTTGGAAATTTTGTCAGAACTGAGATACACATGTACTTCCACCAATCAGCAGCGTGCGCTACTGAGGTCGTAAGCGTTCGTAAGCGTTCGTAACGCGCGTAAGTTAAGCGTTCATTTCGTCGTTTTGCAGATGTACTTACTAACACCTGTCATTTGACCAGTCATAATCATGAATAATCCATGATGCTTTCTTGCTCATCAAGAACTTTCAAATTGATTATATATAGGTAGCAAGGTCGGAAGGTCTCGAACCATCGTGACTCTATCCACCACATCTCTTTCACATGTCTCCTCAACAGAAAGCTCTTTTGCTTCCCAAAAAGCAGGGCGACTTTGAAATTGGCTCCCGCAGCATCCCCAGTCCTGGCGCTGGGGAGCTCTTGGTCAAGATTCACTCTGCTGCTCTGAATCCGGTTGACTACAAGATCAAGGACATGGGGCTTTTCGTGACCGATTACCCTGCCGTTGTAGGCATGGATATTGCTGGCATAGTCGAGGAAGTAGGGGAAGGTGTCGACAATTTCCGCAAAGGCGATAGAGTGTTAGTATGATAATTCTTTTCCTTGGGTTCGGCTCTGTATGCATAGGCTCAACCTTGTTTTACAGATTGGCGGATGGTAAATTCACTAACGACTTTGCTGCGTTTCAGCAGTATACCTTGACCGATGCGAGGTTTACAGCAAAGGTAAGTTACGAAAAGGTTCATTGAGCACATCGTCATCCACATTCCATTCCAGATTCCTTCAAGCGAATCTTTCGATAGCGCAGCGACTGTTCCTCTGGGGTTAGATACTGCGCTGGTGGGGTTGTATGGAAATCATTTTGGAGCTGGGTTAACCCCTCCTTGGGCGAAAAGCGTAGGCGAATCAAAGAAACCTATTGTCATCCTTGGCGGTTCTTCATCTGTAGGTTCATACGGTAAGCGTAGTGGGACTCGCCTATTCGACCACAGGCTGACAGTATTGCAGCTATCCAACTTGCTCGACTGTCAGGATTCTATCCTATCATCACTACAGCCTCTCCGAGTAATGAAGAACTTGTCAGGAAGTACGGCGCAACCCACTTTTTTGATCGCAACCTTTCCGGCAAACAACTGAAGGCCGCCATCAGCAAAATTACTGACAGCCCTATCGGAATTGTTTATGACGCCATCTCGTTGCCAGAAACACAATCTGTTGGATGGGAATTACTTGCAAACAATGGCACCCTGGTATTAACCCTTGCTGGATCAGTCAAGGAGGATGAAGGCAAGGGGCGCAAGGTTATCTCGACTTTCGGAGTCCCACACACCCCCCAAAATGTGGAACTGTGCAGCAGCTCGTGGGCTGTGGTCGAAAAGTGGCTTTTAGAGGGTGCTATAAAGGTTTGTTCTGCGAACATTGTTGTGGTTCTATGTCTCACATTTATGTAGCCGAACAAGTATGAGGTTCTGCCAAACGGACTTGAAGGTATTATTGGAGGACTGGAAAGGATGAAATTGGGACAGGTGTCTGGAACGAAGTTGGTCGCTCATCCACAGGAAACACAATAAACACAAGGTTGTCGACTTATTCCGCGATGCCGAGTATCACCTTGTTTGCATTGAGCTCAATGACAGGATATAATTGAGCAATACAATAGGCGTCACAATTTCTAGTATGTACTGGGCGATGTCGCGAGGAGAGCTCTTACTGGAAGTTTGAACATGTAAAGGGAAGGGACGGAGCGACGTGGTCAGTGCTCTGCTTGTGGTTGGCACGAGTTTAACACACCAAACGCATGGTTCGTGAAGGAAGAAATCGCAAAGAGAAGCTCCGACTTGCAAGGAAGCCGCCAAAACTCCTTGCACTCTCCCCGTGACTCAACGTTGGAACTAGTGAGTGACACAAGCTTAGTCAGCCACTCAGTAGGCTTTCAAGTTGCAGTGCTGAGTGGTACATCGCTTTTCACCAAAGTTTTTGCCTTGCCCGCGACACGCAGGGCCGCAGGCACACAGTTGCGGATATACCGCTCCCACATCAAACAGTAGATTACATCTTTGTTGCCTCATTCGAACTATCCATCTTCAAGCTTCAGACGTTGCAGAGGCAGGATCCTGGATATGACGAAATCGATCTCTCCAGGTTGTCTGCAGGTGATAAGCTAGTGCCAGACAAACTTCATAGACTGCAATACAGACTGTACAATATGGACCTTGGACCACAGGAAGGTGATAGTACCCTGTACTATCTTTATTTCAAATATTTGTGCTACACGCCTCGTCGATTCCCCTGTTGCCCAGGGAGTGGAGTAGGATTCCAGCATGCTACCCATCCTCGAAGAGACCGTAACAGACCTACACAAGACTCCTGCCATTTCTAGCGTCGCATCTCATGCGCATTGCATATGGCGTCATTCCGCAGGGCAGAGCTTGTTATTAAGCTGATGCTACAGGAAGTACTTACTAACACCTGTCATTTGAGTCGTAATCATGAATAATCCATGATGCTTTCTTGCTCATTAAGAACTTTCAATTTATTATATATAGGTAGCAAGGTTGGAAGGCCTCGAACCATCGTGACTCTATCCATCACATCTATTTCGCATGTCTCCCCAACAGAAAGCTCTTTTTCTCCCCAAGAAGCAGGGCAACTTTGAGCTTGGCTCACGTAGCATCCCCAGTCCCGGAGCTGGGCAGGTTCTGGTCAAGATTCAATCTGCTGCTCTGAACCCGGTCGACTACAAGATCAAGTACACAGGGATGATTGTGACTGATTACCCTACCGTTCTGGGCACGGATATTACTGGCATCGTCGAGGAAGTAGGGGAAGGTGTCGACAATTTCCGCAAAGGTGATAGAGTGTTAGACCATTGTTTTCTTTGGGTTCGGCCCTGCATGCTCAACTTTTGCATTCAGATTGGCGCATGGCAAATTTGCTAATGACTTCACTGCATTTCAGCAGTATACCTTGACCGCTGCGAGCTTTACAGCAAAGGTAAGTTATGAGAAGGCTCATTGAGTACATCGTCAGCTACATCCCACTTCTAGATTCCTCCAGGCGAATCTTTCGATAGCGCAGCTACTGTCCCTGTGGGCTTAGATACTGCGCTAGTGGGGTTGTACGGAAATCATTTTGGAGCAGGGTTAACCCCTCCTTGGACAAAAAGCACCAGCGGTCACGAATCAAACAAACCTATTGTCATCCTTGGCGGTTCTTCCTCTGTGGGTTCATACGGTAAGCGCAGCGGGACTCGCCTATTCGACCACAGGCTGACAGAATTGCAGCTATCCAACTTGCTCGTCTGTCAGGATTTTATCCTGTCATTACTACAGCCTCTCCGAGCAATGAAGACCTTGTCAGGGACTACGGGGCGAGCCACTTTTTTGATCGCAACCTTTCCGGCAAACAACTACAGGCCGCCATCAACAAGATTACTGACAGCCCTATCAGAATTGTTTACGACGCTATTTCGTTGCCGGAAACACAGCCTGTTGGATGGGAATTGCTTGCAAACAATGGCACCCTGGTATTAACCCTTCCTGCATTAGTCAAGGAGGATGAAGGCAAGGGGCGCAAGGTCATCGAGGCCTTCGGGAACCCACACGCCCCCAAAAATGAAGAGCTGTGTAGCAGCTCCTGGGCTGTGGTCGAAAAGTGGCTTTCAGAGGGTACTATAAGGGTTTGTTCTGTGACCATTGTTTTGGATCTATGTCTCACATTTATGTAGCCGAACAAGTATCAGGTTCTCCCGAACGGGCTTGAAGGTATTATTGGGGGACTGGAAAGGATGAGATTGGGACAGGTGTCTGGAACGAAGTTGGTTGCTCATCCTCAGGAAACACAGTAAATACAGGGTTGTTGACTTATTCCGTGATCCAGACTATCACCTTGTTTGGATTGGGCGCAACGACACGATATAATTGTGCAATACAATAGGCGTCACAATTTCTATGTACTGGGCGATGTCGCGAGAGTTCTTATTGGGAGTCCAAGATGTAAAGGCAAGGGGCGGAGCGACGTGGTTGCTCTGCTTCTGGTTGGCACGAGTTTAAAGCACCAAACGCATGGTTCGTGAAATTTTGAAATCGAGTGAAGGAAAGAGAAGGTGCCGACTTGCGAGGAAGCCGCCGAAACTCAAGTGGGGGGACCCCTAGGCCGCTAGGCGACACCCATTGCTTATTAGTCAGCCACTCAAGGCTTTCACTAGTACTAGTGGTGCTCTTCAAAGCTTAAGAAGCGCTCAAGCTTCATCACTTCTTGCCTTGCTCGTGACATGCGGCAGGCCCACATTTTACAGATGACTCACACACCTGGGCCACTCCAACATCAAACAGCGAATGGCATCTTTGTTGTCTCATTCAAAATACCCACCTTCAAGCTTCAGATCTCAGACGTCACAGAGACAGGATATAACGAAATCGATCTCTCTGAGTTGTCTGCAGGTGATGAGCTAGTAGCAGACGAACTTCATTAAACTGAAACACTGACTGCACAATATGAACGTTGGGCTGTAGGAGGGTGATAATACCTTGTACTATCTTTATTTTATTTGTATAGCATATGCCACATGCCTCGTCGATTCCGCTGTTGCCCAGGGAGTGGAGCAGGATTCCAGCGTCCTTCAAGAGACCGTAACACACCCACACGAGATTCCTACCATTTCTAGGGTCGCATCTCATGCACATTGCATATGGCGTTATTCCGCGGGGCAGAACTTCTCCGACTCTCACGTTATACGTAGAGGAGGTTCATACCTCTAATTCCTCACTGCCAGCTCTTGCAACCTTAATATTAATGATTAATCTCATCTGCTATACAGTTTCCGGCAAATCCCACTTACCACTCGTATCACACTGGTGTACGCTGGCTGCCATACCCTCATGGACAACTGCTCTAAATTTGTTAACCAGTGCTAGAGACGCTTTCGTATCTGAAAACCTTATATCGTGTTATAGCGGCAGGTAATTCAAACTCCAGATGATGGCAAACGCCAGACACAATCATTGCCTATCATTCACTTTTAGGCTGTGATGGTACAATCCAGTGTCGTCTCTCTACATTGCTGTCTACGTCCTCGTGTCTCACTTGTGTACTTCAGGGTCACACAATCTGACACATTCGGCCGCACAGGCGAGTTGTGAGACACTGCCGTGACCAAATTATGATAGCGCATACGGATTCACGGGGTCCTCGCTATGCCTGCTACACCACCCCTGTGTGTCACGCGGGTCTTGCGGCAATACAGGATCACAGGTATCTCCTTTGTAACACGACCTAGCAGAGTAACCACGACCTTGAAAGGTACGTTCCTTCATCCAGCGATAGTATTCCTTCGAACGATACTGACACAGCATGTCCACCACAGGTGTCATAGAATGCGCAGTCAGTGAGGGACGCGATCTTATGTTTGTTGATGACAGACATGCATGCTCATTCGAACTGAATAACCAATTTTTTGAGATTCTGTTCTGAGTACCACACCCCAGCGAAATATTGTATGTTCATGTTTGTGGATAGTACAGTCAAATCGATCAACCCCAGTCCATCGCCGCTCCTCTATGTCATACGAACCTGCACCCATAAAGATATTTTTGCCCCTATTTCCTTTTGAAATCTGGAGTCCCTGGCCCTGTTCCAGTCACGTCCTATGCGACAAAAATACCTTGGTTTGGGCTCCTTAGGAGTGGACTTCTTGAGTCGGGGGAAAGAATTGGGAACAGTCGATGGCCACGCTGCCGTGGAGTTACGCTGCAAAAAGAAGAAGTCAACAAAAATTCGGTAAATCGACATCAAGATACGCCTGTTCAGCAGGCACAACACCCCTAGATTTCCCTGCTACTTTGGGTGTCCAATCGAGTTAGGAGAGCCAAGGGTCATCCTTCCAACATTCGTCCCTTATCCTATCCTTAGCTTGCTCTGCGAGTTCGACAAGGCGCCTTTTCACTTTCCCATTTAACTCCTTGTAAACCCTATCTGCATCCGCAAATGAGATCTGACAGCGCGGCCGCGGTGAATGCACGTCCAGATACCTTTGAACACTCGGGATCGGACACCTTAGAACAGATTCTACTGTCACAACCCTGACAACAATACATCCCTGCCTGCAACACCCGCGCCAAGCAACCTCACAACGATTCAGCTGCGAGAGGCACAGAATAACGAGCCCTGGCCGGTAAGTGGTGTCAAATCGGGCAGCTTCAAATACCTTTGATGGACAGCGGTGCTAGCATTATGAAAAGGGTCCATGCGTGGGCTGGTCTACGGAACGAGCGCCTGCACTCCCCATGCGGCCTCAGTCCCCTTCAGGGATAGAATAGAGAGACTCGGTAACATCTCGCACCTGCAGGTGACATTGGATGAATCAGCTGAGGCCCGACCTCTTTATATCTTCTACTGGACAATTCCGAAAAACTTACAATCTCGTTGCGGAGATGCCCGCGGGAGCCCCTGCGCTTGGATACACAGTGAGCACAACTTCGCAGGGTGCAATTATCCACTGACAATGCCAGGGCCATAAAGCATGGTAGATTCTGGAGTTGAACAGGTCAAAACTAGAATAGGCTATGGCATTCAGATTGTTTGTAAAGGACGTGGTGCACTTCAATGGGTCGAAACTAGGATAGGCTATGGAACATTAATATTGTTGTATGTCGAGACAAAAGATCGGATTGTTTGTAAAGAACGTGGTCACTTGAATGGGTCGAAACTGAAATAGCCTAGGCTGCCTATGGAGTATTGTTGTACGTTGAGACGAAAGTGCGAGTTAATGCAGAAGATTTCGATGGCTCGCTGGAAAGGCAATCAGTAGGGGCATGATCTAGTGAAGGACTGACTCTCCACGTGGCTATGTCGAACTCCATGATCATTCGAGTGCGATTTTCCCCGTTGGGACTTGCTGCGTTAGAGGTGGACCTAGGTAGACTTAGGTAGACGCCTCTTAATGATGTCATTTGCAAATCATGATCACGAATAGTTGAAATCAATGATGCATCTTGCTCATTATAGACGTTTCAATTTATCATATAGGTAGCAAGGTTGGAAGGTCACCGGTCACCAACCACTGATTCTACCCACCACATCTCTTTCGCATGTCTCCGCGACAGAAAGCTCTCTTTCTTCCCAAAAAGCAGGGCAACTTTGAGATTGGCTTCCGCAGCATCCCCAGTCCCGGAGTTGGTCAGCTTCTGGTCAAGATTCAGTCTGCCGCTCTGAACCCGACTGACTACAAGAGCAAGGACACAGGGATGTTCGTAACCCATTACCCTGCCGTTCTGGGTAGGGATATTGCTGGCATTGTCGAGGAAGTAGGGGAAGGTGTCGACAATTTCCGCAAAGGCGATAGAGTGTTAGCATGATGATTTCCCCCTGTCTGTATAGGCTCAACCTTGGTTTACAGATTGGCGCATGGCAAATTCACTAATGACTTTACTGCGTTTCAGCAGTATGCCTTGACCGTTGCAAGCTTTACAGCAAAGGTAAGTTATGAAAAGGTTCATTGACCACATCGTCATCTACATCCCATTCCAGATTCCTTCGAGCGAATCTTTCGATAGCGCAGCTACTGTTCCTCTAGGGTTAGATACTGCGCTGGTGGGATTGTACGGAAATGAATTCGGAGCTGGGATAACCCCTCCTTGGACAAAAAGCGCCGGCGGTCACGAATCAAAGAAACCTATTGTCATCCTTGGCGGTTCTTCCTCTGTGGGTTCATACGGTAAGCGTAGTGGGACTCGCCTATTCGACCACAGGTTGACAGAATTGCAGCTATCCAACTTGCTCGTCTGTCAGGATTTTATCCTATCATTACTACAGCCTCTCCGAGCAATGAAGACCTTGTCAGGGACTACGGGGCGAGCCACTTTTTTGATCGCAACCTTTCCGGCAAACAACTACAGGCCGCCATCAACAAGATTGCTGACAGCCCTATCAGAATTGTTTACGACGCTATCTCGTTGCCAGAAACACAGTCTGTTGGATGGGGATTGCTTGCAAACAATGGCACCCTGGTATTAACCCTTCCTGCATCAGTCAAGGAGGATGAAGGCAAGGAGCGAAGGGTAGTCCAGACCTTCGGGAACCCACACATCCCACAAAATGAAAAGCTGTGTTGCAGCGCCTGGGCTGTGGTTGAAAGGTGGCTTTCAGAGGGTACTATACAGGTTTGTTCTGCGATCATTGTTTTGGATCTATGTCTCACAGTTATGTAGCCGAACAAGTATGAAGTCCTCCCAAACGGGCTTGAAGGTATTATTGGAGGACTGGAAAGGATGAGATTGGGACAGGTGTCTGGAACGAAGTTGGTTGCTCACCCTCAGGAAACACAGTGAATGCAGGGTTGACTTATTCCGCGATGTCGACTATCACCTTATTTGCATCGCGTGCAATGACAGGATATAATTGATAGGCATCACAATTACTAGCATGTACTGGGCGATGTCGCGAGGAGAGCTCAGGCTGAGTCTTGTTGGAAGTTCCAACATGTAAAGGCAAGGGGCAGAGCAACGTGTTGCTCTGCTTGTGGTTGGCTTTAAAGATTCCAAACGCATAGTTCGTGAAGTCGATTGGAGGAAGAAATCGCAAAGAGAAGTTGCCGACTTGCAATGAAGCCGCCAAAGCTCCTGCCATTCAGACTCTAGGGAGATCCAAGGCGAGAGCCGTAATAGCTTAATATTAGTCAGCCATCTCGGAGAAGGTCCTTCAAGCTACAGGCTTGACTAAGTTCTTGAGCATCACTACTTCTTGCTTTGCTCGCAACACGCAGACACACAGTTGGCAGATACACCGCTCCAAGATCAAACAGCAGATGGCATCTTTGTTGTCTCATTCGAACCACCTACTTTCAAGTTTCAGACGTCACAGACAAGATATGACAAAATCGATCTCCCCGAGACTCCGAGTTGTCTGCAGAGCTAGTAGCAGATGAACTGCAATGCGGACTGCACAATATGGACTTTGGAACGCAGGAGGGTGATAATACCTTGTACTATTTTTATTTTATTTGTATAACGTATGCCACATGCCTCATCGATTCCACTGTTGCCCAGGGACTGGAGCAGGATTCCAGCGTCCTTGAAGAGACCATATCAAAGCTACGCAAGACTCCTACATACCATTTCTAGCGTCGCATCTCATGCATATTGCATATGGCAGGGCAGGGCTTGTTACTAAGCTGATGCCTACAAGAGGAAGATGCTCCTCACTAACACCTCAAATTGCCCGTTATCAGGAATAATCGTAATCCATGGTGCTTTCTTGCTCATCAAGAAGTTTTAATTTATTATATAGGTTGCAAGATTGGAAGGCCACCGACAACCGTGATTCTACCCACCACATCCCTTCCGCATGTCTCCACGACAGAAAGCTCTTTTTCTCCCCAAAAAGCAGGGCAACTTTGAGATTGGCTCCCGCAGCATACCCAGTCCCGGAGTTGGGCAGCTTCTGGTCAAGATTCAATCTGTTGCTTTGAACCCGGTTGACTACAAGATCAAGGAAACAGGGATGTTCGTGACCCATTACCCTGCCATTCTGGGCACGGATATTGCTGGAATTGTCGAGGAAGTAGGGAAAGGTGTCGACAACTTCCGCAAAGGCGATAGAGTGTCAGTATGATGATTTCCCCCTGTCTGTATAGGCTCAACCTTGGTTTACAGATTGGCGCATGGCAAATTAAATAATGACTTTGCCGCTTTTCAGCAGTATACGTTGACCGTTGCGAGCTTTACAGCAAAGGTAAGTTGTGAGAGGGTTCATTGACCACATCGTCATCCATACCCCACTCTAGATTCCTTCGAGCGAGTCTTTCGATAGCGCAGCTACTGTTCCTCTTGGGTTAGATACTGCGCTGGTGGGGTTGTACGGAAATGAATTTGGAGCTGGGATAACCCCTCCTTGGACAAAAAGCGCCAGCGGTCACGAATCAAACAAACCTATTGTCATCCTTGGTGGTTCTTCCTCTGTGGGTTCATACGGTAAGCGTAGTGGGACTCGCCTATTCGACCGCAAGCTGACAGAATTGTAGCTATCCAACTTGCTCGTCTGTCAGGATTTTATCCTATCATTACTACAGCCTCTCCGAGCAATGAAGACCTTGTAAGGGACTACGGCGCAACCCATTTTTTCGATCGCAACCTTTCCGGTAAACAACTGAAGGCCGCCATCAGCAAAGTTACTGGCATCCCTATCAGAATTGTTTATGACGCTATCTCGCTACCAGAAACACAGTCCGTTGGATGGGGGTTGCTTGCAAACAATGGCACCCTCGTATTGACCCTTTCTGCATCAGTCAAGGAGGATGAAGGCAAGGGGCGAAAGATAGTCCAGACCTTCGGGAACCCACACGTCCCCCAAAATCAAGAGCTATGCAGTAGCTCCTGGGCTGTGGTCGAAAAGTGGCTTTCAGAGGGTACTATACAGGTTTGTTCTGCGACCATTGTTGTGGATTTATGTCTCACATTTATGTAGACGAACAAGTATGAAGTCCTTCCGAACGGGCTTGAAGGTATTATTGGAGGACTGGAAAGGATGAGATTGGGACAGGTGTCTGGAACGAAGTTGGTTGCTCATCCTCAGGAAACACAGTAAATACAGTGTTGTCGACTTATTCCGCAATGCCGACTATCACCTTGTTTGCATTTGGCGCAACGACACGATATATAAAATAGGCGTCAATTACTAGTATGTACTGCACGATGTCGCTAGGAGAGGTCTTGTTGAAAGTTTCAACGTGTAAAGGCAAGGGGTGGAGCGACATGGTTGCTCTACTTGTGGTTGTTTTCAGACACCAAACGCATGGTTCGTGAAGCTTTGAAATCGAGCGAAGGAAGAAATCCCAAAGAGAAGCTGCTGACTTGCAAGGAAGCCTCTGAAACTCCCTGCAACTCTAGTGGGAGACCCCCAGTGGGCGACAGTCGTAGCTTAGTCAGCTACTCACCGGGTCGTTCAGCCTTTGTCGTGACCACCACTAGTAGTACTGGTGCTCGAAGTTCAAAGCTTCACCACTTCTTGCCTTGCTCGCGACACGCAGGCACACAGTTCCAGATACACCGTTCCAACATAAAACAGTGGATGGCATCTTTGTTGTCTCATTCGAACTACCCACCTTCAAGCTTCAGACGTCACAGAGACGGGACATGACGAATTTGATCTCTCCGAGTTGCCTGCAGGTGATGAGCTAGTAGCAGGCGAACTTCATAGAACTGCAACACGAACTGCACAATATGAACTTTAGGCCGCAGGAGGGTGATAATACCTTGTACTGTCTTTGTTTTATTTGTATAGCGTATGCCACACGCCTCATCGATTCCGCCATTGCCCAGGGACTGGAGTGGGATTCCAGCGTACTACCCATCCTTGAAGAGACCGGGTCCGTAACACACCTACGCGAGACTCCTACCATGTCTAGCGTCGCATCTCATGCACACTGCTTATGGCGTTATCCCGCAGGGCAAAGCTTGTTATTAAGCTGATGCCACACAAGAGATAGATGCTCCTTACTAACTTCATTTGCAAATTGCCTGCCATGATCACGAATAATCCATCATTGATGTTTTCTTGCTCATCAAGAAGTTTCAATTTAGTATATAGGTAGCAAAGTTGGAAGGCGTTTAGCCACCGTGATCACATCTCTTTCGCATGTCTCCCCAACAGAAAGCTCTTTTTCTTCCCAAAAAGCAGGGCAACTTTGAGATTGGCTCCCGCACCATCCCCAGTCCCGGAGCTGGGCAGCTCTTGGTCAAGATTCAATCTGCTGCTCTGAACCCGATTGACTATAAGATCAAGGACACAGGGATGTTCGTGACCGATTACCCTGCCATTCTTGGCAATGATATTGCTGGCATTGTCGAGGAAGTAGGGGAAGGTGTCAACAACTTTCGCAAAGGCGATAGAGTGTTAGTATGATGATTCTTTTCCTCGAGTTTTATTGGCCCTGTCTGTATAGGCTCAACCTTGGTTTACAGATTGGCGCATGGCAAATCTGCGTTTCAGCAGTATACCTTGACCGTTGCAAGCTTTACAGCAAAGGTAAGTTATGAGAAGGCTCATTGACCACATCGTCATCCATACCCCATTCTAGATTCCTTCGAGCGAGTCTTTCGATAGCGCAGCTACTGTTCCTCTAGGGTTAGATACTGCGCTGATGGGGTTGTACGGAAATCATTTTGGAGCTGGGATAACCCCTCCTTGGACAAAAAGCGCCAGCGGTCACGAATCAAACAAACCTATTGTCATCCTTGGCGGTTCTTCCTCTGTGGGTTCATACGGTAAGCGTAGTGGGACTCGCCTATTCATCCGCATGCTGACAGTATTGTATTGCAGCTATCCAACTTGCTCGTCTGTCAGAATTTTATCCTATCATCACTACAGCCTCTCCGAGCAATGAAGAACTTGTCAGGAACTACGGCGCAACCCATTTTTTCGATCGCAACCTTTCCGGAAAACAACTGAAGGCCGCCATCAGCAGAATTACTGACAGCCCTATCGGAATTGTTTATGACGCTATCTCGTTGCCAGAAACACAATCTGTTGCATGGGAATTGCTTGCAAACAATGGCACCCTCGTATTAACCGTTTCTGCATCAGTCAAGGAGGACGAAGGCAAGGGGCGCAAGGTCATCCAGACCCTCGCGAGCCCATCCGTCCCCCAAAATCAAGAGCTGTACCGCAGCTCCTGGGCTGTGGTCGAGCAGTGGCTTTCAGAGGGTACTATACAGGTTTGTTCTGCAACCAGTGTTTTGGATCTGTCTTACATTTATGTAGCCGAACAAGTATGAGGTTCTCCCGAACGGGCTTGAAGGTATTATTGGAGGACTGGAAAGGATGAGATTGGGACAGGTGTCTGGAGCGAAGTTGGTTGCCCACCCTCAGGAAACACAGTAAATGCATAAGTCGCGGCTAGCTTGTTCGGCAATGCCTCTTGCTTGCATCGGGCGGGATACGATCAAATTGTACATTAAGTATCACAATTACAAACTTATATATGTACAAAGTCACGGTGTAGGAAATTGGATGTAAAAGAATGCTAGTAGCCTAGTACTCAGTGCACTTCGCGACTTCGGATGTCCGCTGAAATCACATTCCCACGATCATGCCACTGACGCGGCCTGAGTACTGCAAACGCGTACTGAGGCCATCTCTCACCAGCATGTCTTCATCCGCATCCTCATCAAAACCCGCAGACAAACAAACAGAGAAGTCCAAGGAGGAGGACAGTCAGCCTCACCTGGGGGTCCTTGAAGAAGATGACGAGTTCGAAGAGTTCGAAGTCGCAGGTGATCATTGAGTTGCCATTCCATATCATCGATGCTTGCTGATCATGTTGTCTGGTAGACTGGGATGATTCTAGTACGGATCTGGCGCACTTGAAGGGCGCTGCACCTGGGGTCGCAAAATCAGCGGGGGATAAACTTTGGGAGGATAATTGGGATGATGACGACATCGAGGATGAGTTCAGCGTGCAGCTACGGTATGCAATTCTCCTCTTGTCTTGATGATACGTTTGCCCAACTCATACATTGGCTAGGAATGAGCTTTCTAAGGCGGGGAAAGCAACTGGAGACCCTATGCAGCAATAATGACATCGTATCTGCGGTTTTTGCCAAGTGACCCGTCCAGTTACTGTAAAATATCCAATACATCTGAGCCCTTCAGAAGCTTCATTATCCGCACTATTAAAATTTCAGTGTGTACTAGGTTGCTCACCGGAACTCTGACTGCGATTAGCCGCATTTTCATTGAACAACTATCCACATTAGTTAAACAAGACAAGGAGAGCAGGGGTCCTGAAAGGTAAGCCACCTTCAGCGAGACATGGTTTCCTTCACATCATAGGTACATGTCATCAGTGTAAATCTCCAGAGACTATGCGTCTCGAGTTATTCAACAAGTATTCATACAATTGAAGGAAATGACATGGTACGTAAACATAAACGTGAATTATCATCAAGATTGCTCGCCGAACGGCTAAACTTTCGTGGCTGAGTTAGTGTCCTTGACCTCTGAATCTGTCTCTTTCCCTTCCGCATATGACACGGTTTCAGTTTCGGGAAGACCCATGAGTGAGACATCGAAACCGTGCGCTTCAAGGTATTCCCGGAACTACGTTGGGAGGTGTATAAACGTCGTGGGCAACGGGAGGGACAATCGCGCACCTCGGCATCCTCCCTCTTCATACCATCGTGGTCCAAGGGTTTCACAAAGAAGTATACAATGATTGCGCTTAGGATGGCGAGACCGCTGCCAACCCAGAAGGGGCCAGTGTTTCCTTTAGCTGAACTTGAGCCACCAAAATCCGTGATCATGAGAGGGAACACTGGACGGACAAAGAAAACACTCAGTTCACCCGTCATACGAAAACTGCATGATACGTACCCCAAGTTCCAATAAATGCGCCTATTTTTCCAACAGCAGCTGCAATACCGTAATACTGACCACGCACAGCAGTTGGCCCGGACTTTGCAGCCAATACACCAAGGCAGTTTCCGGGACCTAGGCCAAAAGAGTTCAAAAGACGGAGAATGATTGCGCAACCCCACGCACCAAACTCGCCGAAGGTCAGGAAGATGCCGTACACCACCTAATGAGCCACTCAGCATCAATTATCTATGAGAGAGAGATGCATACAGCAAAAGCGGCAATGTGTTGTGACAACTGGGTATAAAGGCCACTCATGATGAATCCAAAGAGCGCTTGCGCGAGAAGGCCAGAGATCTAATTGGGGATTTAGAAAAAATCACTTCACAGGTGCTCAATATCACTTACCATGGTAACCTTGGGACCCATAAAATCAACGCAGAAGGCACCCACAACAGTGCCTGCGGACAAAATGTGAGATCTGTAAGTTAATTGTTGTCCGGTAGACTAACCTGGAATGTCGAACAGGCTGTGAAACACATCTGAATAGGAGCACGAATCACGGATGGATGGGAAGCTTACTTGATCACGACAGCCCAACCAAAGACGACGGTGAGGGATGAACTACCACCGGTAACGCTGCCAAAACGGCTAAGTTCTATGTGAAGAAAACAAAAGCAAATGCATACGCATCGGTGATTGTGGATGAATAAAGTCCGAACTACAGAAAAAATCAGTGATAATGCATCCCATAAGTGCCTGAACATACTGGGTATCTGGAAGTATGTGAGCAACTAATCCGAATGCATGGGAATGGTTGTTAGCATACGTGATGAAGTCATAAATGAACCATGCCAGCGAAAGGCCAAGCAGGCTACGCCAGTATCTTTTAATGACTAGTCCGTATGGGATACGGACATACTTCATCGAATCGCGCTTGTAGCGATTGGGCTCCTCCATGCGCAGCCGCCAAAAGAAGACAGCAACAGCAGGAACTACACCAAGCCCAAGCGAGAGGCGCCAGACAGCACTAAGGTGGTTGTCCCCGAATCTAAAAGTAACCGTTAGACATGGATTGTAAGATGTGGAAATGAATGGCGGCACGGACATCCAGTAAAGTACCAATGGTACGAATGCTCCAATAACGAAACCGTTATCAATCATAGTGTCTGGGCAGCGTTATTTAGATTTATACTGGTGATGAAGACATTTCATCACGTCAGCTCACTCGTTGCGAGCACCAGCCATCGGTGTTGCGAGTTCTTAGCAATGCCCTCTTCCTCCGACTGTTCAGATGCAGACACGGAACCGCAAGGGTATTCAGCGCCAACGCCAATCCCAAGAAGGAAGCTATGTTAGATAATGAGCGGCACAGATGATCTCGGACCGGCACAAATGCTTACCGACATGCGATAAGCATAGCAAGCATGCCATCAAGGCTGTGGTTAGCACCAGACGAAGCAGCCGAGAGACCAGAAAATAGTGCGACGATCCCAGTTGCGGACATCTGTTTAAAAGTATGACTTACGGGTTGCTCGATCGGGGTTGACGTCTACTTACCATACCGAATTTGCGCCCAACTTTGTCGGAGAGGTAGCCAAAGGTGAGCATACCCACCACGGTGCCTAGGACGATTTAATTGCAGATCAACGAAGGAGACTTATGTACGCACCTGCGAAGGCGACGCTGGAGAGTGTGGTGCTGAAATTCCCAGTGATGCCGTCGGAATCAGTGCCGTATATGCGTTTTAAAACTGTAATTCACATTCAATCCTCAGTGAATTTCACGGCAAAAGGCGCTCACTAGTATTGACTGCAAGACAGTTGAATTTTTTGGTCAAAGGGGACTCATCAAGTTGAATACATCACCCACCAGAACCAATGACACTGTTCGCATAACCTGCGAACGATTATCAAATTTACGTTAAGAGAGACGTATGTGCATACCATCAGAGAACAGAGCCGTTCCACAGCTGTGAGAAAGGATTCGAGCATCGTGATCAGTTTGAAGATAAAAAAACAAACACAAAACAACATACGCGAAGATGAGAGAAACACTACTCAGGGTGACCTTCTTAGCCATGGCGTTGAGGTCAGAGGGAGGCAGTAGTAGAGGATAAAGAGCTGGCAGCCAAAAGATCTTCTGTATCAAATACACCTATTAATATAGAATCCCGGCTGATTGCAGGTGATCCGGGTCCTGGAGATGCACACGGTCGGCACTTTCTCTGCCATTTTTGCTCAATGTTGAACGTTGATACCAGCAAACGTGTGCGGCTCGTTGACGCATTCTACTTTGTGCAAGTCACAGCCCTTGAAGGCAAGTTTGTGCTCTGCCGCCCGAGGTGTCCGTTACAGGCGAACTTGAATTCAGTACATATCGAGATGCTTACTAGTTAGGACTTAGTCGCTTGCATCGCGCAGTCACGGTGTTCCTGTGTGGCGAACTCCAACTTCCAACTTGTATGCGTGTGAGCAGAATTTCCTTTCCTGTACTTAGTAAAAGCTTAACGAAAATAACTCTCAAGCCTTAAGTTTGAGCTCACCTGGCTCGATAAAAAGTAAGTAGCAGTCAAAAGTCTGCCAGCGTAATTCAGATCGTATCTCTTTGTTTCTTCTAGTCAGCCATCGCAAGTACCAGGAGAAATGACACAAAGGCGAGGCAGTGCAAGCAAGTGACGCTGTCGGCGTTTTCCGAGTGAAGTCTCTGATGCGGAAGAACTACTTCGACTCCTAGTAATCGTTTCCCTCTAGTCCACACCCAAAGTATTGGTGGCAAGCAGCTTGTGCAACAAACCTCAAGGATATAGTGCGCAAGCCTGGATATAATCGAAGATGTCAACTTCCGAAGCTCACAGGACGCTGAAGCGCTCCCGTCATGATGATAATGAATCTATGTCAGCGGGCGGGGCTTCCGGTATTCATCATAATGGTGCAAAGGTGAAGCGCGAACAAAGTCCGACGCCTCCGCCTCCACAACGGAAGTTGGTCATGTCCGGGACAAAGCGCTTTGCCCCCTTTCCCTCGAATTGTTTGCCTGCGAATCCTGGGTACAAGCAGCATCGAAGGACATGGTCCAAGAAGTGTCAAAGTGAAATTGAAGCTCTGAAACTTCAATCGGAGAAGTTGCTCATCAGGTATGTCGAATTGCGTTGGATGGACTTGTATTCTGATTCCTGGCAGAGATGATGGCGTAATAGTCGACTGGTGAGCCATATGTATCGTGTGAAGCGATTGGCATTGGACATACTGTGATAGGAAGAGCCCGGTTCCAGTTTGGTCAGACACATTGCGACCAGCCGAGCTTGATCTTGCTGCTGCGATCACACTTGCACATCAGGCAAATGCCCAACAGCGCAATGCTTCCCTTCACCACACACCCGAAGCCCCCTCTCAGTCGGCTGTATCACTTCCGGTCACTGATGTTGATGATGTTGTTATAGTATCCTCATCCACACAAAACTCCCTATCCCACCACGGCCACGGAGGAATGTGGCATCGCCATCTGTATTATCCTCTCCCGCGGGTGGCTCTAAATCTCGGGCAACCCCTGAGCTCGATCTTCCATCTGCGGATGTTCCCGCTCCATCCAGGCCTCTGAACGACTTTCCGACGATCGTGGTAGTACCCGATGAAGAGGAAAAAATGTCGAAAATGACGATGGAATATCTTGAAAGGTGTGTTTCCATTTTATGTTCCTGAGATTTGCAACCGGAACTAGCTTAATCTTATCGTATTGCCGCTGGCCGATTTCAAAGATACTTCCAAACATTCGACTCGGATCGTGCCAGTCTTGCTTCTGCATATTCTAGCAACGCGTGCTTCTCATATCGAGAAGTCAAGTGCTTCTCTCCTGGGTCGCCCCACTTGCAACCCCCATTACCTCGTAAGTTTTTCGTTCCGGACATCTATCGTACCTTTCAATCGAGCCCGCATATTCATTGGTACCTAAGCATCTGACTCTATCAAGCGTACCCGGCTCGACATAACCGCAACCATCCTTTCCCTACCACCTTTGCAGCTCTTGCCGTTGACTGGATTGGCAGCAGATATCGACTACGACATCATGTGGCTTGGTTCCCCCGTTGGAATGTTTGCCATCTGCGGGGGCATTCATCATGGGCACGTCTCAAAGCGGCCGGTGACACATAGCTTTTTGTTACGCCAAAAGGAGGCATGCGAAGAAGATGTGAGGGCTGACGGCGTGTGGCCACTCGTTGCTGTGGCACATCAGATGATGGTATTTGATGGCCCGTAGATATAGTTCATCATCTTCTATCAGTGCTTGGTTGTGTACTCACTCCCGGTTATGGTTAGAGATAAATCACGATTAAATGTAAGTATTCGAATCTTCGATCGGACTATGACATAGTTGTGATATGGTCACCGCCTCTTGTGGCTTATAGCGCCCTATCGAGAGCGATAGTCCTCGGAGAATGACACTAGCTTGGCATATAGATAAACCCATTACTCGGCACCTGTGCACAGTTGACGGTGAAGGATGATAGTTTTCCAGACTCATTGATAGGGCTATTTGCATCCCACTTTCACAACCATGGAAAACATGGAGATGCGGTAGCACATAAGATACTGCATTCTCCTAAAATATGGCCAGCTCGGACTTCGCACTTCACACGTGCCATAAGATATGTATGTGACGTGTCCGCGAAAATGAATACCCTTGATTGCGCTTAAAAGATCATTTGCGTGCAGGTCTAGGTAGGTCTAGAAAATCGACACGTAAAGCAGTCATCACGTATGTTCGTGCTATATCAAGCTTTCAAGGATAAGAAGTCACTGGATATGGCCTATGCCGCAAAACGTCCATGTACCGACGGCAAGGCTCTGAATGATCTTCTGAGATATCTGTACCACTTACTCTGACATCCCCTCGGAGTTCGCCATGATTTGCTGTGCTAAAAAACCATTTCAAACGACAAGGCTGTAAAAGAAATGACGGGATAGAGGGGAATAGTTGCCTGTAATGATCAGGTATCTTGATCGAGGGAAACGCAGGGAACCCGGGAGGATAGGCCGGGTAGATTAAAGAACGTATACGAGTCCTGAATGCTTCGCGGGAACACTTTCAAAAAGAAGTCACGGGGCCGACACGTGGTTCGAAGAGGTGGAGCTCGATCTGCGAAGCTGACGGCACACCACTATCTGAAACGCCCCCGGAAGCTGATATGTACATAGTACATTTGTAGTTCGTCTAGAACCCAACGGGATTCAAGGCTCACAAGGCTCTCCGCATTGCGAAAATGGTAAGCCAATGACCAATGGTGGGCCACGCAGTTGCTGTGACGTTCTGTTCATGGATTAGCTGATAAGTCAGATGTCAAATGTACCCAAAGTGAGGGTAAACGACACGGCAGCTGCGCAGGAGAAAATTCACCGCGTTCCATGACCTACAAATCTTGACGTCAATGGTCGAAACACCATCGATATCGTGCACTGGCAAGCATGGCCGCCGTTGGCGCATAGCCCTTGCAGGCCTTTCCTTGGAATAATTGCTTTGGTGAGTGCGCATTGCACTGTTAAAAAACCGATATGCAGGATTACACGACTTGATCTGACTAATAATCGTCTGATGGCGAGAACGAACTAGCGTTCGCTTATTAGTCAAGGATGCAATGACCAAGACAGGTGTATAATGTAAATTTAAAAGAGTTCTAGCAGCTTGCAGCTGGGATCGTATAAGTAGTAAGCTGCAACGTGTTGACGATGACCTGGGAGCAAGCGGGGACCGAGACGCACCGGCGCTGTAAGGGAGGAACGTGTCGGCCGAGTGCAAATAAGGCAATTCAAAGTCCGCCTAGTTGGTGTGCTTTCTCTCCATCCGCTCCTTGTCCCAAGCACACCAGTCCATCCTTTACTTTCCTACTGCGCTTCTGGACTGGTGGCCTGAAAAATTATTAACCTTTCATCCAGATGACGACCCCTCACGTTATAGCCTCATCTTCGGGGCACCACTCTCAAACTGCCACTTCAAATGGTATCGTCGGAAATCACTTTCGTGTCGGCAAGAAGATAGGCGAAGGTTCATTCGGTGTTGTATTTGAAGGTAAGTGTCGTACACCTCAGGTCTTCCTGCTTTTCCAGAACTTTTTTTTGGCTTGTGAGTTGCATGGACGATACCAACAGAGTCACTCGACCTTCTAAGCGCCCGTCTTACGACTAGCCAATTTCATGCAGAAGGATGCATTTCGGTCCATGGGTCGCCGGTGGGCGATCATCATGGTCATGGTTACTTAGTAGCAATGGAACTAGATCAACTAAGCTCCGCGTATCCCGTCAGAACGGAAATTATTTATCTGCGGCTTTGAGCAAAATTTTTGTTACCGGTGTTCTTTGCCATTTGTTCCTTTGACTCACCACAACTCTTCACAGGCACGAAGCTTCTTACAAGCCAACCTGTCGCTATCAAATTTGTACGTTTGCCGTGAGGTTCTTCTGATCGTGATTTGATTTTGACGTACTACCCAGGAACCTCGAAAGTCCGATGCTCCTCAGTTACGGGATGAATTTCGATCATACAGAACACTGAATGGTACAGGTATGTGTTAGTGTCAGTAATTTGTCTCGCCCGACCGTAATATGTCATTATTATCAGTGGGCGTTCCCCAAGTACACCACTTTGGGCAGGAGGGACTACACAATGTCCTAGTAATTGACCTCCTAGGTCCCAATTTAGAGGACCTCTTCGACATGTGTGGTCGCAAGTTTACCATTAAGACTGTGTGTATGTCCGCAAAGCAGATGGTAAGTTTATACCCATGCATTAGGCAGATATTGTTATGTTGTTTAGTTATTCTCTCTCTCTGTCTCTCGATTCGTTCCGTTGCAGTTGTTCATGTCTTATTTTTAGATATCTCGCATTCAATCCGTCCACGACAAGTCGCTCATTTACCGTGATATCAAGCCTGACAATTTTCTCGTCGGAGTCCCTGGAACAAAAACCTCTAACACTATCCACATAATTGGTATGTCTTTTGCAAGTTGTCCATGTTCCTCTTTTACGTCCTTCCACTCCCCCGATCGCACCCGTGTCCCTGAATTTGCGGAGATCTCCATCTATTGATTGTCTCCAATACCACACTGACTATCTTTGGTAGATTTTGGCATGGCGAAGCACTACCGAGATCCCAAGACGAAAGTCCACATTCCTTATCGTGAGCGCAAGTCCCTTTCAGGCACTGCCCGGTACATGTCGATCAACACGCATCTTGGCCGTGAGCAATCTCGCCGGGATGACCTGGAATCGCTAGGTCATGTATTCATGTACTTCTTGCGTGGCGGGCTTCCCTGGCAAGGTCTTAGGGCCGCAACCAATAAGCAGAAGTATGAGAAGATCGGTGAAAAGAAGCAGACTACACCGATTGCGGAGTTGTGCGAGGGTTTCCCCGGTAAGTTCTCTTTTAGTTCATCCAGCGGCGTCTATTCTCTTCGTTTGTCGATGTGCTGAAGTGACAATATGATTTACTGATCGGTCTCTACTGATTCAGAGGAGTTCGCGATCTACATGAACTACGTCCGCAAACTCGGGTTTGAGGAAACTCCCGACTACGATTTTCTCCGAGAACTCTTTACCAAAGTGTTGAAGAATATTGGCGAGCAGGACGATGGCATCTTTGACTGGATGTTGATCAATAATGGCAAAGGTTGGGAGGCCAGCAATGTATGTAATGTCTTCTCATCACGGAAGCATATCGTAACTGAATATTTCCAGACACCTGCATCACTACTAGCACAGGCTCATGCCACTGTTAACACACCTCATACACCTCGTCATCGTGAGAACAGCCGTCGCCCGCGGGCACAACTTACAGATGGTTCAGCGCCTTCTACTCCTCTCGTCCTCGCGCCCACTCCCGCTCACATCAAGAACAGCACTAGACGTCCAGGCACACGAGAAGGACATGGTAGTCGAGACCCTGGCGCTCGTGCTGATGTCAGTGTACAGCCCATCGCTCCTGTTAGCAGGCGCGCGAGTCAGACACCCCGAGAGAGTTCGGGACTCGCACCTCCTCACCCTTACGCCACAGCACCTACTTCCTCGGGATACCGGGCAAGTAACGGTTACGGCAGGCATTCACCAGTTACTCATGCTGCAAATGTGACCAATGGCAATAATCTCGTTGGGCGCAACGACGCTTCAGATTCGTTCCTCTATGGCGCGCAGGTCCACGCTGCCAAAAACCCGACCAACTCGCGAGAGGACACAACTGCAGGGACTCTAACTCGCGATGCTGGGCAGATGCGTGGAATGACTGCGTTTGAGACTCAAAGGCATGGTGTTGATGATGTGGATGATGACAGACATCCTAAGCGGAAGGGCTTCTTCTCCGGCCTGTTTTGCTGCCGGGCATAGTAAGCACCACTGGATGGTGCAGCGCTGGTCGCTATCCGCGGCACTTCGACTTCATTGGCAAGTTATTCGGACAGTCTGCTGATTTTCGGCTAATTCTCCACTTATAGGTATTAGAAACTCTGACGACAACACGCACGAACTATCAATCATGGCTATCGTACATACTTATCTATCTTGCTAGCTTCTCCTCGGGATTCCGTATTGCTTTCCTCTTTCCGCAGGCCGACCATGTCACACCGCCGTCATACCCCTCACGATCGTTTCGAATCATTCCGTCACAGTCTTCAAGTTTCCGCCTGATCCTGTGGCTGGTCTTGGGTGGTGGCTCAATATTCTCCTGTTTATTGCTTCCATGTGTATTATCTACAGACCCTTTAGGATATCCATTAGCCCTACTTAGCCACGGGGCGGCTTTCTGTTACCAGGCCAAGTTGAGGGCATTAATAAATATTGACTACTTTTGGTTTGCGCAGATCCAGCTTAATGTGTTTCATAACGTCCAGGACGTTGTCTAGACTCGGCCTATCAGAATGCATTTCGATATTATAGCACGTTCGACATCTGACTCAAATACATTTATCTTCGAGGAAACCACAGCAAGAAGGCTATTCATATTCCGCAGCCCGGTGTGAGCGCAAGAGAAATAATATACATCCAAAGACAGCCAAAGACAAAACAGCAGAATCATAGCACTATTGTACAGTCATCAAATTACAGTCAACGCAGTTGCACACGTTTCATCTTTGACAATCAACCGCCTGACTGACAGAATGGCGACATTCCTCCGCACGCCTCCAGACAACCCCACAATCTATTTCCGCTCTTTCCATCCATTCTCTACGCCTAGTTTGGACCAACGCAGGGCCACATCCGAATCCGGGGACGGATTTCTGTCGGGAAGCTCTGCGGCGCCCTTGTGTGTGCCAGATTCATCCATTAAGCCTAGCCCTCCGTGGCTTCCCCCTCTGCGACCCATCTCACCGGGTGCATCTCCATATCTCACTGAGGCACTTTCGCCAACACCGTTTGCATTTCTTGGAATAGCACGAGTTGTATCAGGGTAAGGAAGGCTCGCACTGCTTGAACCATGTTTCCCCTCAGGGTTGGGTGCATCCGTGGGTTTGAAATTGGCATAAGGCGCTGTAGTTGAATATGCGCCTGATGGCACCGCGTAAGGGGTATTGGCGGGGTCTGGTTCTGAGACCACATAAGTGCGCATGCCATCTGATGATATTTGGGGTTCAGGAGAGGGGTCATGTTGTTTTTCGTACAATGACGCCGACGCTGGCGATACGTTCGAACTCGATGACAATGGTGAGTTGAGCACCACAAAGGGCGAGTGAAACGAACGCCCTAATATGACAACACGGGTTTTGGACGACCGTGACAACGAGCGCGCATGTTTCGGAAAGACACGGAGAATGTTGGACATTGTGAACTGGTCGATGACGGTCGTCAAGATGTGGCCTCACTGGCGAATGTACGTGAACCGAAATGTCATCGTGAGAATATCGGTGACTTGTGACGTAAAGCACTCTTTGACATTTGCTTCCGCGGCATGTCAGCTCTGAGCTTACATAGTCTTTCGCAGGTCGCGAGCGTGAGCAGAAGAAAGTTCGCTAGCACTGACAGCGACACAAAGGTACGACCGCTTGGCTGCCAAGTCGTGGTGATTTTACTGGAATGGTCTGACTGCATTTTTAGTCATCGTCAATCTTCCCTTCATTTCGTCTTTTCCTCACCTTCCAGGGTGTGGCGGTCTCCGCACCATCAACGCAGGTTGGCGTGGAATAGAGTCGGCGCAACATCGTGTAAAGTCGTATACTTAATTAAGAGAAATAACTTGGAACTGATGCTGTCAATAGCACTACTCGGGCACAGTTACGCGGTGAGCGAACACCCTGAACTGCTTCTGGATCAGCCACCAAAAATACTGGCTGCGCACCATGTCCGAAGACATCGCTCATTTCCCCTGGGTATTTGGTGGTCAGATCGAGCGGCTTAACTCTGCACAATTCCAGGTCGAGACATGTGATTACGCCTTTGATGGAATTGTTTTTTTGCTTGAGAAACACATCATGATACTGTCGGGGATGCAGTGACCTTACATTCAGGTCATGCCAGATTTGAATCTGACTAGCTCGTTATGCACTGACCTTTCCCTAACGGGCAACGATCTTCGCTTCTATAAATCCGTTGCTTTAGGGTTCATTCAAGTAGACCCGTTGGTCAAACCGTATCAGCAACATCATGTCATGTAACACGTTCCACAATCTCACTTCATGAGATTCGGAGAACAATGCTCGGCACTCACGAAGGGAACCCAGTCGCACAGGTTGCAGTCTCCATCAAAGGCGTATATTTAGGCTTTGATATTCGCCGAGAGTATGTTCACCAACAAATGTTTGATTGCTGAATGTTTACTAGATCATATCAAACATCCAGTGCAGCTTTTCCAGGGTACTCCGCGGCCCCGGACGTTCAGACTCACTTCCTCATCGCGACATGAAACCTTTTTCCGGTGTCATATTGGGTTCGTCCCATTGCGACCGCATTTACCCCCATGAAAATGGAAATATGGCTAGTCTCCAAAACACCTGACACTCTTCTAAAGGAAACATTTGATTGTCGTGATAGACCCTCACTTACGAGAATTGTCCGCGTATCATGACTATGGCTCCTCGGAGAGCTTTGTGGTACATCCCGACGCCGTTGGAAATTCTTTGGTCACTTTTTGCCAAAAACAATCCCGTGTCTGAAACACTCTAGGCTCTTCTCTGCGCTTTGCGCGGCGTTATTCCTCTGTCAAACTAACCAAGTAAATAGGCCTACGATCCATCTAGGATATACCATGACCAGGGCCCCACATGAATGTTGAAGCGGCGACGTCGCAACGATCTAGGAGATGTGATGAAACTTTAACCCTGTCCCAATGGAATGACGTGATATGGAGCGACCATCCTTCATGGCCTTTTATTGGCCGTTCATAGCCGCTGGTTAGCGCTTCGTGTAGTTCATTATTCTGACTTATCACTTATCAGACAGACCTCGACCAACAATCGCGATTACGCTGATGCTATAATGTTCCTGTCGCCGCATTCCCGCACGGTGATCTGTCAGGGTGCTTGAGGAAGTCATCTTCCCATCATTTTGGTTAGTAGGAAAAGACTCACTAAGTTCCCTCGAGCGTCTGTTCATAGTCCTGGACATCGTGTTCTTACGTTTCTGCCGCTGTTTTGGGATCCTAGTTTGTCATAGTGGCACTCCGGAGCTTGTGTTGATCCAGGAGATCAGGGCACAGAACCGTGGCCAGTCAATTTTGGCTATCTGGGGCGGTGCGTGTTTTTTTTTTCATATGTCAGGCTTCCCATTCTGACTGCGTCTCGTTAATAAGCCGAAATGATATCGGTATCCGATCAATTCCATACATGGTCACACAGGGTCACTCCAAGCCTCCCCCGCATCCACTATGTTGAGACTTCCATTCCAGATATCGAGACCTATCGTCGGAGCCGAGACAAAATGTTTCCATCCCAACTCACACGGCTGCAGCTGCCACTGATGCCATGATGCATAAGTGGCCATGATCTCGTGCTGTTCGGCACTCACTTTGGGCATATCAATCTTCGGCGAGGGAAACACTTTGCGATGTGTATCTCAGATTGTTATCCGCAATACTGGCACTCTATTACACGTCATGATCTGAGTGTCACCCTCAATCCAACTGTTCTATGCAGAAGGGATGACGTCACTGCTTTTCAGTGACTGTGATGATTAATAGCAGGAGGCAGTCACCGGTCAGTTAATTTCTTGGCTCTTGGACTACTTGGTCGCTCGGCGGCCTATTCCTCGGGTTGATAGGCTCATGAGATCGAATCCAGAGGCCATATCTAGGTCCGGACCTTGGCCGCCCAAGTTAGATCGTATTATTTCGGGTTGGACTAGAAATAACGACGCCCATTAGTTCAAAGTTCAAACGACCCACACATACGTCTCTTTCATCCCCGCCTCTTATAAGATAAACATAATTTGTACATAAAATTGTTGAGTTGCGGCATATTCCGTAAAGGACCTAAAAAGGCAATAGAGTAGAAATGTCACGGTGTTTGTGAATGAACCACCACAGGCAGGAGGCTGCAACCCTGGTTTCCACTTGTTGAGCAGCAGAGGTGATCATTTCAGACCAAAATGAGCCCGCAGCTTATGCCGATCCCCCGGAAGTGCCAACCTAGCAGGAAAGTGGGACAGGCACGCGAGGACCTGGAAACCCTGCACATTAACTTAAGTCCACGGACATCACTCAGGTGAGTGTACATCCTTCTCGGCACTTGTCGTTTTCCGTCACCGCGGCTTTGCTTGCCTAATACTGTTCGACCTAACCGAGTTTTGCCCCGTACGTCCCATTTGCACCTGTCGTACAGGCTAGCTTACTCCATATTCATTTGATTGTTCCGTTCTACTAAGTAACGAACTCCCACCCGCTCCTTGTGGGGCCAAATCTGCCCATATCGACTAACCGGATGGTTGTTATCTATTTCCATCTGTCATGCCGCCATTTCTGTTTAGATGTTGATCTCTGCGAGTCAAAATCTTCATCTAGCCCTTGTCTAATACGCGTTACTAGATTATGTCGAATTCTTCTTTTGATTCCGATTTCCGAAAATTCGCCAGCCTCTTAAATACAGGTCCTATATCGGCTTGCAATATGTGTCCCAATGCCCACATACTCGATCGATGCAAACATGTCTTCGCTGCCCTTGCAAGGTAGCTTTCTTGTGGTGGTGGCCGCCGGCTTGGTAAGTGGCCGTGTATTATCATATCACGTTCTGACCCTGATGATCGTTGGTAGCTTTGTCATTTTGTATTCAAACGTCATGAGCCCACTACTCCGCTCTCCCACCTAGGCTTGCTCGTTGCAGTTCCAGCCATCCTTACGACCCTGTTTTTGCCTAACGCATCAACTTTTACTCATGCATTCAGTTGTGTCTGCATATTGTATTACTCTACTGTTCTTGTTTCTGTGACCGTGTACCGTCTATCCCCTTGGCATCCACTTGCAAGATACCCTGGCCCTATCCCTTGCCGCATCTCCAAGTTCTGGATGGCATGGGTCTCCCGTGATGGAAAGCAGCATATTTACTACTCAAGACTGCACCAAACGTATGGCGACGTCGTCAGAATTGGTGAATAGCCTCTTAACTTCATACTTATTGTTTGGATCTAATCACCTTTTTGGTCTAGGTCCTAACGAGCTATCAATACGAGATGTCAATGCTGTGGTCCCGTTGATGGGTAGCAACGGAATGCCTAAAGGACCTCGTCAGTGATTTGATGTGCTCTAACATGTGGCGCCAGGTCCTAATTTAGATACGCAGACTGGGACGGACGCATGGCTGAGCAAACAGCCACCAGAACAGTCATTTCGGTAAGGAATCCCGTAGAGCACGCTCGACGGAGGAAGCCTTGGCATAGGGCTTTCAGTGTTTCCGCATTGAAAGGTTACGAGGAGATTCTTGCAAAGCGAGTCCAACAATTCGTGGCGATTCTCGAGCAACAGACACAACCCTTCAACCTCGCTGAGCGTGTAAATCATTTCACGTGCGCCTCCCTACTTGTCTACTTGTTTGTTCCTGACTTAAATGACATAGGTTTGACTTCATGAGCGACATGGCGTGAGTGCGCTTAGTTTTTGGATGTTTCTAATCGAACTTAATGATTTCCCAAGATTTGGCGGAGGCTCAGAGATGTTGCGTGACGGTGATAAGGACAACACTTGGCACCTGTTGGAAAATGGCCTTCCGTGAGTACAGCAAAGGGCAATATTACAATAAGGAAAGACTAAAATACTTTTTCATTCTAGAACTGCCTTGGTTCTGTCCCACGTGCCTTGGCTCGGAAAGTACTATGCCATTTTGCCAGGAATTGGGGAGGGCCTCAAGACATTCAGAACGTTCTGTCAAGAACGCGCTATGTTCAGGCGGACCGCAGGCTCTTTGTCTAAAGATCTCTTTCACTATCTGGTAATTATTTTAACTATTTTCGTGGTTTTCAGTTTTGTTGACAGTCCTTAGATTGATGAGGCGGGTCTTGAGCGTCATACTTCCCCTCCAACTTTTGCGGAAGTGGCGTCTGATGGAGTCCTTGCTATAGTAGCCGGGTCTGATACCACAGCAACCACCTTGACCTCTCTGTTCTTGTCACTTCTGAGAAATCCTCAGACGTACTACCGGCTCCAAGCCGAAGTCGACAGATTTTTCCCTCCTGGCGAAGATCAACTTTCTACGGTTCATCACCCTCATATGAGTTACCTCAATGCCGTAATGCACGTGCTCAAATTTTTTTTTTCGAATCCTGACACCTGACACTGGTTTTCAGTAACGAAACTCTACGGCTCTTCCCGCCAGTTCTCAGTGGAAGTCAGCGTGGAGTACCGAGAGGCGGTGACGACAAGTTTGTCGGCCCTTAGTAAGTTTCATTTACATACCAACTCTAGCGAATCTAACATAGGCTTGCCGTAGCTTCTTACCCGAAGGCACCAATGC